GGGAATTTCAATGCAATTCAGCAAATAAAGAGTATTTAACAATCCCCTAAATACTGGCCTCCTTATTCTAACTGCAGTAAAAATAATTGTTGTCAACATTCGGTCCCATTATCACACCTGCTGTTATAAGTCTTACAAGTTTTCCCAGCATACGTGCAGCTGGAGTGTATATAGGAGATAAACACGTACTCCTTAGACAATGACAAATGCAATGAGAAGAAGAAATGCATCAGCTATGAGATCGGGAAGGGGGTACTGATGCTTCATTAGCAAGACAGTACAAGTATTTTGTGTGTGTCACCTGCTCCTGCGTGCATGCATGCCAGGAGGGACTGTTACAAGAACGCCAGGCCACCAAAAAGTAGCGAGAGACTGCAGATTCCTTGAAGGGGAAACGAAAGCAAATTCCACAAATCAATGCAGAAATTCCACCCAAAATGGCAATATTCTCTTCACACAGCTGCAGCAATGAAAATGTCAATCATCAAGTTAAAGCAGGACACCTGCCATGCCTGACCGATGTTAGCTGATAAATTCAGTAGATTTCTAATCTTAAAATACTAAAATATGGAAACATGTTGTTACAGTATTCTGAGCAAAGAATAAAAACACAGAGCAGATGAAACCTTTAAAAATAATTAAAAAATGAAATCTTCAAAATGTTTTGCTGTCTAAGTTTGCCATCAGAAGTATCAAAATAACGTCAGAAAGAGGAAGGTGATCGACAGAATACGTCAATCTCAGAAAGCTACTTCAGACCATACAATATGGGCTCAAAGTCGGGGCAGACTATAAAAGGGAGATGAGCAGAATTTCCTGTATCCATGCGACCATTATTATACTATTCACACGTACTACCCATTGCCACATCGTGATTAACAGACTAGCGCAATAAGGAAAAAGTTGCAATCAGGTTACATGAAGAGGACTGAATATCCCTGCTGATTACAAATGACAGCTGATTTTTTTCAGTCAGGTCTGCACTTAGAAAATGCACTAACTCAGAGGACGGATAAAACCTCCTCGGAAGTAGGAGGGCCAAACTTAGTGCCACTTTCTTCACATCCCATACGCAAGCAATCAACACAGTCCTGCTTTTTAATTAACTGTTTACCATGATCCATCCTCACCACAAAGATCTGCAATGTGATATTGTAAATGTTTCTCAAATATAGATAATCACAGACCTACATATCATCATCAACTCCACACTGAGCCAAAAGACGCCCACCAAATATTACATAGTACAGTGAAATGAACCGTGAACCTGCAGGCACGGAGACACCCGTACACTGATGCTGGCTTTGAAGCAAAAAGAGCTAATACAGAAGTGTAGGCCTTGAAATGTGTTCTCCTTGACGGAACTTTCAAGTATTCTTGTTCGCTCAAGTTCCCTATTAAACTGAATTTCTATTAGGAACTTTGATGATGGTTAGTAAACTAACACTGCTTATAAGTAAGTAAGCAAACTTATATTAGATACTCATAAGCAAGTAAACAAAATTTAATTTCGAGCAGATCACGTCAGAATTCTTTGTCACTGACACTGTTATGGTCCTGGGCATGTGGGAAGCCTTTACTATCAGCTTCACTTTTCCATCTGGGTCTCTACTTTCTGTGTACCTTCTGAAAAACAACTTTTCTATTCCTTTTTTCCTCCTTTTTCAAACCTATTGTTTTCACCACTCTGAGATCTTTTTTTCTTTGCTCCAACAATACTCCAACACAAGGAAAGACCACCTTGATCAATGAGTCCTGTCTTCCGCAGAAGACATTAGGTCTGGCGGGGTCTACAGAAAAGCTATTTAACCAGAGACCATAAAATAGTCCTTCCCCCACACCCTTTGGTCCACAACAAACTTAAAAGACAGCAGTGAACTGCTACAGCCATAGCTAAAATACGCCAGAGGAAAAAAGTGGGAGACACTAAAGACAATCCTTCAAGTCGTCAATTCCTCGCTATTGCAGGAACATAAGTAGATTCAAATTGCAAATATTCCTAGCTAACAGACCATGTCCATGTTACGGGAAACACCCAACAGCCTTTGCCATTCTTGTATGAAGGAAATTCCTTCTTGACCTCAAATCTGCCCATGGGTTGAGCACCAAGAACACGTCCATGACATTTTTAATCAAGAGTTTTTCAAACCACTGAGAGCTAGGCTGAACTTTGAAAAGTTTAACACTTTTTTGCGGTTCTCCAACACAATTGACTCCACGATAGCCTAATTCAAGCCAGGGAAGATTGTAGAGTTTTTTCTAATTTCTAATTTCACACCAAGCAAACAGCTTTTAAAGAACTGCCCACACCCCCATTTTAATGTTTAAAGTATTACACAAAGCACTGAATATAAGATACTCCAAGCCAGGTGGAAAAAGAATTGCACCAATTACTTAACAAAGCTGCCCTTTACCATCAGTGCCCAACCAATTGGTGCTTCATAAACTTACCAAGTGATGACACGAAACCCACCAACCAATGCTATCTGATATTAAATATACATGCTTTCCAGTTATCTTGCTAACCATATTAGGAGACAAATATCAACATTTTAATGGAGGCCACATTATGTCATAAATCATAGAATCATAGAGAGTTTTGGGTTGGAAGGGACCCCTAGAGGTCATCTAGTCCAACCCCCCTGCAGCGAGCAGGGACACCACTAACTAGATCAGGTTGCTCAGAGCCCTGTCCAACCTGGTCTTGAATGTTTCCAGGGATGAGGCCTCCACTACCTCTCTGGGCAACCCGTTCCAGTGTTTCACAACCCTCATTGTAAAGAATTTCTTCCTTATATCCAGCCTAAACCTACTCTGTTTTAGTTTAAAACCATTACCCCTCGTCCTGTCACTGCTGTCTCTACTAAAAAGATTGTCCCAATCTTTCCTATAGGCTCCCTTTAAGTACTGAAAGGCTGCAATCAGGTCTCCCCGCAGCCTTGTCTTCTCCAGGCTGAACAAGCCCAAATCTCTCAGCCTGTCCTCATAGGAGAGGTGCTCCAGCCCTCGGATCATATTTGTAGCCCTCCTTTGGACCCGCTCCAACAGTTCCATGTCCTTCTTGTGCTGAGGGCTCCAGAGCTGAACGCAGTACTCCAGGTGAGGTCTCACCAGAGCAGAGTAGAGGGGCAGAATCACCTCTCTCGACCTGCTGGCCACGCTTCTCCTGATGCAGCCCGGGATATGGTTGGCCTTCTGGGCTGCCAGCACACATTGCCAGCTCATGTCCAGCCTTTCGTCTATCAGTACCCCCAAGTCCCTCTCAGCAGAGCTGCTCTCGATCCTTTCATCCCCCAGCCTGTATTGATAGCGGGGATTACCCCGACCCAGGTGTAGGACCTTGCACTTGGCCGTGTTGAACCTCATGAGGTTCACACAGGCCCACCTCTCCAGCTTGTCCAGGTCCCTCTGGATGGCATCCCGTCCTTCTGGTGTCTCGACCGTACCACTCAGCTTGGTGTCATCTGCAAACCTGCTGAGGGTACACTCGATGTCGCTGTCCATGTCATTGATAAATATACTGAACAGCACCGGTCCCAGTACGGACTCCACTCGTCACTGGTCTCCATCTGGACATTGAGCCGTTGACCACTACCCTTTGGCTGCGACCATCCAACCAATTCCTTATCCACTGAACGGATGTTTATATGCATCAAGACACACAGTGCTTTGATGCATATAAAAAGAACAATTTGGAGAACTGAATTAAAAGTGAACGTGCAACACACAGCTCTTAGGAACTGACCAATTCCTAGACATTGAGCTTGCAAACTACATCCAAGGAATTTATTACAACTTCCATATTCTGTAAAGAAGTTTAAACATACAAGTTCATGGGGTTTTTGGTACTGAAAGTTTACTATTTCAAAGTAAATTGTTTTCCAGTTGCTCATCACTATACATCAATATAATGCTATAAGCCATCACTTTTCATGGTATAATGGTGATAATACATTTTAAAATCTTTGATTAAGTGACTTGAGTAATGACAAAAAGATCGGACCCTTCCAAACATAAAAATACAATGAATCAACATCTGTCATCTACAGAAATGGCACAAACGTCATTTAATGTGATCACATCAAACACTATCCATCACTCATCTGTAAATCCACTTCACCATATCTAATCCAAAACTCTCAGTATTAACAGTCAGCCTCAGAAAAAACAGAGTATTCTAGCAACAGTTTGTCACATTCAATCTATATCGCTTGGGTGAAAGTTAAGCACAGAATTTCTTTTGGATCAAAATTTAAACTTACCTTTCAATTTATGAAATTAAAAACCAGTATGTTCTTGCTGATTTAGCTAGCAACTTCCTCTTAAGAAGGGGAGAGGTATAAGTGACTGACTTACCTTATGTTTTTTAATTTCTGGTTGGTAAATCTATCCTTCCAAGAGCATCCCTTTCAAAAAACTACAATTTCAGTTCCAACAAAAAACCCATGAGATAACCTTTTCTGACATCTTTACAAAGACACTAACATCGTTTTGACAACTTTGTATTCTAAGCTGAATAACAAAATCTGTATGACAGAAATTTAACAGATTTCTCATCTTGAAGTAAAATAGCATTCATATACTTCTTGGAAACTGGAAAACAAAACTAAGTCACATTAATACTAGATAAATACTAAATATCTTTAAGGAAAGAAAGATTATTAACACCATGACATTGCTATTTTAAAAAGTCTACTCACAAAATAGTCATTCAAATGATTTTGTTTAACAAGAAGTGGTAAGTACATGTTATAAAATATTAGAAACAGACTATTGTTCAGCACTGAATCTATTATTCACTTAATTGAAACAAACGGTCTTCATCTGAATTGTCTTCTGTGGGTTTAAGCGTCTTAAAGGCACCATCACCATAACAAATTGAAAATATTTTCCCTATGTTAATCTGAAAAAGATTTAAGATGACAGAAAACATGAAGATCATATCTGCAGAACTGCAACGGAATGTATATGCCTTGGAAACCATTTGAGTGAAAGGATACAAGTTTTGGTATAATGGGATTAATGATTTCAATGCACGGCTTGCATTTATAGCTGTTGCTCGAACCATAATAGGAAGAATTTTTCCATTCACAATAGCACCATCAAAGAGTGGACCAAAAAACGGAACCTGAATAAAAATTAAGAAATTCAATAGAAAGCAAGGTCTTAGCTATAACAATTAGCAATCAACATTAACAATAGAGCACTCAAACATAATTTTTTTTCTCCTCATCGCTAGATAATCAGACCAGTTATTGTGCTCCACGACAGACCTTTTCTCTTGTGGAAATATACAGCCATATAACTGCTTGATATCCTTGGTAACAGATAACACAGCATTTGAAGAAAATTAAGCAACCATTTGAATACTATCTCATCAAAGCTTATTTCCTCCTCTTACTGCCAAAATCCTAGAAATCGTCATGCCTATGATATTTATGAGGTTGAAAGGCTAGATGACAATATTTTAGGTGGTAGTAAGCAAAAGGAATAATTACTCAAATTTTAAAATAAAATTTATCATAGCTTTAGATATAATATGTCCAACTCAATGTGCAACAGTCATACAGTTACTGGTGGACCAACCCTCGCCTTCCATTTTCTTTTTTTCTTCTGTTTATTCTTCTTCCTCTCTATAGTATGCATACAAATAGACTGTAAGCCCTTTACAGGAGAAATCTGTGGTGAAAGTTTGGCTGATTTGGACCCTAATGTAAAGCCTTATTTGTGAGATCTGCAGAAAACCTTGATGTTAAGTATAGGTAGCACCCAAAGGGTTTACATAACAGATAGATCTTATGTTTTGGCATTACATTTTTCTCTAATCAAGCATCATTTTGCAACTGAAAAAAAAAAAAGAAATTAAAACTCTATGAAGTAGCTTCGTTTCCTGTATGTGTGAATAAAGTTCTGAAGCTGCTAGCACAAAGCATGTGAAGAAGAGCAAAGTTTGCACATCAGGTCAGCAAAGGTAGCAGAGTGTACACTAAATAATCTTCCTGCTAATATGAAACCAATGCTGCAAAAGAATCTTAGATCGCTGTATTATTTTTGCCATCAGTCATTTAATGTAGTTTTGAGAATACCGCAATCTGATGGAAGGCACTTTTTCCACATACAAGGACCTCTTGTTGGACTAACAACAATCCCTGCTCTCAGCAGTTTTCTTTTTCCTTCTTAGCCTGCACACCCCCATTAATATAACTCTTTGTACTTAAAGTAGTAGGAGCAAGAATATATTTATTAATTAAAAACATAAGTAACCCAGTAATAACAAGACTATGTACCGGCTATCATTTTATGCCTATCATCAGATAGAGGCAGTCAGCATATAGAGGGAATCCTATTTCTGTCATACCTCATTTATTAATATTAGTGCTCCTAGAAAGAATTTTAATATTTAAAGTATAGAAATTCATGGCAAGTGACATCCCACACAGAAATTATGCAGAACAAACTACTCATGACTACTTTTACTCAGTCAGTGTTTGCTACCCGGTCTTTCTTTGCTGAATTAATCTCCAAATTGTTGTGTGGACTCAAGGAGAAAGGAAAACTAGCTTTGAGAAGAAGAAAAGGGAACATGACATGGATGGAGAAAGTTGGAGCAGGCTATTATTCAACTCCCACAGTCACATATCAAATTTGATAAAAAAGTTCACCAAGTTTATCTTAATATTTAAATGATTACGCAGAATACTTTAGATTTGTTTCCACTTTATGGTATTAGCAGATATGATTAACTGGATCAGGTGTTTGTAATTTCAAGTTACTGATTTTACTATGCATTGTACTCACTGAGCTCTTCCTCCTACCACCACTGCAACTGTCAATGTTAAAGACACATCATCTTGTTGGATCAATCTACTATACCAAAAGCTCAGATTCTAAACAAAACTCAGTTCATACTAAACATACAAAGGAAATACAAAAGAAAAAAAAACCAAAACCCTTACCTCAGGCTTTTTCATGATCTGGATACTGAACATATGGTTTTTCATGGGATAGATAACTATAAGAACATCACCAAATTCTGTTGGAATTATTCCTCTTCTATAATCTCGAGTATGCTCTGACCAGACAATGTGCACTTCATCATTTCCTAAATGTCTTAGCTAGAAAAGCAGGGAAAAAAACTTATCAGCTTAAATATATTCTATAGCTGCACAGCTATACTAAATGCTCATATTTCAAAAGGACAAACCCACTAAAAAGAAGTAAAGAAAAATGAATAAAATAACCAAGTTACACTATAGTTCTCTTACAATTTCAGTGACAATATTAGTTCACAGTATTGATTTGTGCTATAGATTTTTACACATTGGTGCCAATGTCTATTTAAATTAACAGATATGTCAATATCTCTTTTCTACTGAAAGTTTAAATCCTATTTCAAGAATCCAGAGTGATTCAATCTGATTTACTAAAATGTTTTCAAGATTGCTATGGCTGATGGCAGTGAGTTACTAAATTCTATATGAACTTTTAAAGCATATGAATGAACATCTGTTTAAAAGCTACGTAACTGAGCAGTCTTTAACCTCATCATTCCAGCCAAATTCCAGCTGGCTACTAGAAACAGAAAGCTTTTAAAGGACAATAGCTACTGCATTTTCCATAGCCCATAACCTAAATGCTCATGTCCCATGAAACCAGTACACCTTTGCAAAGATAACTCACCCCGCCTCCAAAAAACCAAAAATGGCTCTTGATTTGGCTCAGAATGGCCAAATCGGTTCCTCAAAATCCATGCTGTATCCTCAGTTGCAATCATATAATCAGATTAAGCAACATCTTGAATACTTTGGAATTATCTGCACTGAACCTCCAAAATGCTCCTTCTGCTAAACATTACCATCCGATAAACAAATGTTAACATCATGGAGAGAGGCTTTACGTATACTTATCAAATACATTCAGAATATTAAACATGAGTTTCTTTCCAGTAAGCACTATTTCTGAAAATTCAAGACGGAATCTCCTTTCTTCCTCCTTGTGCATCACCAGTTATAACTGACAATTGCCTTCACCCCCAGTTTTCAGTTTGTTTGCACAGCTTTGGGTAGCTAGAGTTTGCCTTGATGTTATTCAAAGGACAGCACTGTGAACTGCTGTTAACAGGTAACATATGGATACTAACCTGAGCACTTACAAGTATATAAATATATAAAGGCATATATATATATATAAAAAGGCAACAATTTTCTGTATCGTTTTCAGAACACATCTGCACTTCAAATACAAACGAAACATATACACAAGCATCAGAGAAATTTCATTGCAAGTATTCACTTGTTTACATTACAAAACCTACAGGGAAGCTACTGTCGTCTTATCTGAAGGCTTATACCAGTTGTCAGCAGCAGACTTAAAAACAAAGAAAAAAGAAAAAAAAGAAGCCACCCATGCTCTTCTTTGCTGGCTTTAAATTGTATCAGACTGAAAAACAGGGCTGTATTTCCACAAGAAAGGGATTTTTTTCAGTGTTGGACTGGGCAAAGGACAGATGGCATCAATACCCTGTATCTTGTCTGATGCTCAACAGGTCATTTGTTTCGCCTGCACCAGATCACACACACATCTAACCTCCAATGACCGCAGTTCCTCTGAAGTGAGCTGTTCTTGCCTCTTTTGTAGATGGCTGAATTATTCCGAACAACACTTAGTTAGGGATGCTCTTGCGCCAACTGTAAACCCAGCCCAACAAAAGAACTGGTACAGCAACATTCACTATGCTGAGTTTCATTTGACTAGATTGGAACAAAACCAGGCAGCAATCTGAATGACTGATGTGCCACAGGCCAACACCAGCTGCAGAAATCTTGGATGACACCTTAACAATGACGACTGTTGAAAAAGGCAACTAACTGTGGAGTTGTTCTGAGAGCCTGAACCTCTTCCACCTTCCCAGGCGATGTGACAATCAAACTATTTGTTGAAATATGCCAATGATAGGAGGGTATGAGGGACTGATAGGCCCGCACTTAGAAGTGAGTGGAAACCTCAGGAAGGATGAGGCCGCCTAACCAAAGAGAAAGTAAGAGGTGAACTAGTTTAGGTATGAAAACTTGTGCAACGTGAAAAAACTACATGATCCTAGATTGATGGATGGCCATCTGATGCACTGGCTGAACTCACTGAACTGACTGCAAAAAACCAGAACTAGGACCAACACACCCATCACCGCACTGTACCATTCCTAATTCAGCAATACTGAATTGTTTACTGGAAGAATTAGCCCTGCTTTACGTACCATCTTTGGACTCAAAGACAACAAACTCACACAATGTTAGAAACAAGGGACAGTGACAGCGTATGTGCCAAACAAATGGCTTTAAATCCAAAATGTACAGAGAGTTTTGATAGTGCAGCTTCTTGAGAGCATCGTTGCCTCTGAATTTCATTTACCAAAGGTTGCCCCTGTGTTACTAATACCTGCAGCTGATCAGACAGGACATCAGTTCTTGCACTCCTGTGAAGGCTACCCAGATGGAGCACCCCTGCTGATGCATGCTTTCACATCACTGACAGAGATTTTGGTGTGATAGAAGTGTATTGTATGGTCATTTCAGGAAGAAGATTACTGACAAGGGACACACATTTTTGGATGCCAAGTGCACTGAAGCCACTAGTGGCTCTTCTCTCCAATTTCAAAGTTTGCTTTACACCCTCACAGAGGTGTGACTACACATTCCAGGCTAAAAGCACTAACTTCTTCAGAGGAAAAGACAAATGAATCAGATTATTCCAGTGAGTTCCAAGACCTGTCAGGTGTGTTTTACCTCACCATTACTACCAAGAATAATTTGACAAAGATCCAGTTTCAGTAAAGTGTAGAGTAGCATCTCTGTGACATATAACGGATTGAGAGTTAAAAACAGATGGTGCAAGTAGGTGGATGATGGTATAAACCATGAATGGTGGTTTATAACAATCTGTAAAGTGCTCAAGATCAAAACTATGATCAGTGCCTTTTTTCCTTTATAGGAGGTAGAAGACTGACAAAAATCCATCATTCACTGTAATTATTACACCACAGGAGAGCCAGAGCCTGACCTCTTTCAACTTCAATCTGGATTCCTTATGTCTTTGTATTTAATTGGAAGCATCCCAGAATTCAGTGTCCTGGACACAAGTGGTACAAAGATACCGAGCTACAACCACCTCTGCTCATTGAAACCTTAAGGACAGACAGCAACATGGTTTTCCAATAAGGTTGTGTGGTCCCAATGTTGTCTAACCGGGCCAGACTTGGTGCACACAGAATGTACAGGTACCAAGACTGAAACCTGTGTTAGTGGTTACTCAAAACTCACTGCCGGTTGTGTAAGCCACTACATCTTCATACACATCTCCTGATCCTGTCTTCCCAAATTTACGACTTTGTACATGCATACACCACAGTAAGCAAAACGAAGTGCAAATCCATAATTAGAGATGTAAGGCACAGCAATAATATAAATAATAAAAACCTCTAAAATAACGTTATACTTCAAGTAACTGGTAATACACTATAGCTGAAACACCTGGAACTATAAGTTACATACTAGTATTCTAAAACGTTAAATACTGCATAAATACAGGTCAAACTGCTCTACAGAGTTTAGTATCTAAGCATAAGGCAAGCCACAAATGAAAAAAAAATGTAAAAAGGCATTAAAAGATCAGAAAAATGTCTTTTATAGCAGCATTCTTCAAGAATGAAAGTGTCAAGCCCAGAGAAAGGTTGGTTCAGCAACCAATACAACAGTTCAGGATATAGTGGATAAATTTTAGCTGTATGTATGAAAAGGCTATGTTGGAAAAAATGTTATGCAGAAAAAAGAACAGAGTCTTAAGCACAGACTGAATGTAAGAATCCAGAAAGTGGACCAAATTAAAGAAGATTTCAGGCTATTGGCACAAGTGACAGGCACAATGGTCATGTTATCTGTTGTGATCCAGAAAGGTGGCAATGAGAAAGAGATTAAGAGCTGTGTTTTAGCCATTTTGAACCTGAGCTATCGGGAAGACAGCCCCGAGGAGATGTCAGAGACAAAGATTTTTTTAGGCTTGCTTTGAAACTCTACTCCATTAAAACAAATATATAAAAATGACTGACTGTTAGGTTACCTGAAATTTCAAATTTAACTCAAAATACTTTAAAATATTCTTACTCTATAGCCATCATCATGTGTCAGCTCTCCTAATACATTTATGTTAACTGAATACAAAAGAAACGTGAAATAAATATAACCAGGAGGGATGATCAAATCTAATTTTGATACATTAGTGTCATATGCTGTACATGTTACAATAGCAGCCAGACTTAATACTAAGCTGCAGGCTATACTGAAATTTCCAAATGGCAGATTGTTCTAACTGATACCAAGTATAATTGAAGTAATAAACGATAGTAAAAGCAAAGCACACTGTCAGGAAGAATTTAAGTATTTACTTTTTAAAATTAAATGAGTTAGGTTTGGAAAGGCAAGACAAGTGAAATAATGCAGGGCTCAATTTACAGAAAATTCCTTTTATTTATCTGTTGCATTAACCCTTGAACTCTTGCCAAAATTACTGTAATTTCTAATACCCATTTACCCAAAGGAGAGAGAAAAAAGGCTATTATATTTTCTTGTGATACAACGGCTAGCCCCAACTTTTTTCTTCTTCAAAAATGAAACTGCTCATTATAGCAAGAACAGAAGGAGCAGAAACTTCTGCAGTAATGGTATAATACAGCTACTTTTGCCCATTAAATGTAAGCAGCACTGCTGTCTACAGCATATGTACCCTCTAGTTAAATTTTTCACAAAACTTATGGTGTGTTTGGGTTTTTTTTTCTAAAGCGACATTTGTACTTAATTGTAACAAAAAATAATGTTCTAATAATTTACATCTGTCGAACTTCAAGTTCCCCATATATGTTAATACCACAATAAAAAACAATTAGCTACAAATACTGCAAGCTATGTAGGTAGGACGATGTCACACATAACCTAGAATCATGTAATACACCTAAAGCCCAAGACGAATTAGTATTCCAGTCACTAATAACATTATTACTTTTTATTTACATATCTTGTGTACAATATTCTCACCTACAATGCCTTCACTCCTTTACCAGGCTAAGGAAGGAGGAGCTAGACAGGTGATAAGCTGTAGAGGCACATACGTGAGCTTTCTCACTCTGTGAACTGAGTCTTCACAGTTTCATTTAATCCTGATATTTTCTTTGCAAGTTTGTTCTTGTAAGGGTAGTGTAAATACTTTTCACTATAACCTTTCATTCTAAGAAAAACAAAATGGATTGCATTATCAGCATTAAATCTTTAATTTACTATTTGCAAATTAAATACCTATTTTGTATATGCATTTCAATTTTAAGTTCTTTTACCCATCCAGAAGATTTTCATCTGTTCTCCCTGAATTCATGTCTCTTAGAATCATAGAATCATTAAGGTTGGAAAAGACCTCTAAGATCATCAAGTCCAACTGTCAACCCAACACCACCATGTCTACTAAACCATGTCCTGAAGTGCCATATCCACACGTTTTTTAAACACCTCCAGGGATGGTGGAGGGAGCTTGTTCCAATGCCTGACCACTCTTTCAGTAAAGAAATTTTTCCCTAATATCCAATCTAAACCTCCCTTGATGCAGCTTGAGGCCATGAACAGAGCTTGCTGGACTGAAAAGAATTCAACACGGAATCACCTTAGAAGCATTCATCCCTTAGGTTTTTAGCTATGCCTCATGTCCTTTCTTCTACCCCTTTTTACACAGAGACCTCACCTGACATGTTTCTCATAACAGCAAATAGTGACAGCGTAGCTAATCTGGTTAAACACATAAGAAACGTTACAGCCCTATCCAACTGAATATAAACATGAAAACACTTTAGGATAAAGAGTAATTACAGAAAAACTTCCTCCTTTTGCCTTTGTTATGCTTCTGGAGGAGTCCTAACACGCTGTAAGTGTACTTTCTAGATGAGTTGCTGTCAACCAAGTGATGTATGTAGAGCTGAATTTCACTCACAAGGCAGGCGTTATGTTGTAACTGTCTTCAACCAGCAACAAACCTGAGAAATCAGACTGGAGACTGAGAAACTTCTTAAAAAACCAAACCAATACACCCCCTCCAAAAAAAAAAATACTGCAGCATTTAGAATTTGCTATTTCTTAGAACACAGAACAAACTTAATAGTATCAGATAGTTCAGAAGAGCATGGTTTTGGCTTCTACTGAAAGATGTCCCAAGAAGCGACCTGACCAGGTGCACTGGCCTCCATCTTCTCCATCTTCTCTTCTTGCTCTTGTTCATGTCTTCAGAAACAAATGCTTCAAGACACTTAAAAGTTTTATTTACTACACTGCAAGACTGATGGAAAATAAGTTTAAAATTGGCTTAGCCTCTGAAACAGCAGAATCTTGATTTTGCAGTGACTGGACTGGCAGGAAGAAGTTTTGGTTTAATTTAATTTAATTTCCATTTATAAGATGAACCTATCATGCACCTCTAGGCATATTTACAATATAAAAAACAGCATCAGTTCTAAGCCAGCTATTTCAAGTTTGCTTGTTTTTCTCCCATTGAATGAAACAGACAAAGAAAGCGCATTAAAGACCTGTAGCAAAGCTCAAAGCGCAAGTTTCTCTGGAGGTCATGAACAGTACATGCACTCAGAACAACTACAATTGTTAGCACACACACAGCTTTCAAATGATTCTGAGGTCCCCTATAGTGTGTGGCAACTGGACAGCAGCTCATAAAACACATTCCTTTTACTGATGTGTTCAGTCTAAGCAGCACAAGTAGCTGCAGAACTAGTAAAAGAATTAAGCCTGTTTTCCCGCTCATGTCTCCTGATACCACTTGCTGGTTTCTCCCCAGATGCAAACTTCAGTTGATGTTTTTCTCAAGTTTGGGATGACTCTCACAGCATCTCTCTGGGGTGCTGGTTCCTTGATGTCTAGTCCTTCTTCCCATGCAGTCTTTACCTGCTGAGCAGGAGCACTTAAGAGTGTCTCTCACTCGAGCTCCTTTACTTAGTCTATCTTCATTAAACATACATGAAATTAATACCTTTGAAACATGTCTCTTAAATTTGATTGAAATGGGCCAAAAAGTGTTAGGGAAGGGAGGAGACACATAAAAGCAGGCTCACAAGCCTCCATTCATTGGGAAACTGGGCTTAAGAAAAACAAACCCCACACACTGAGGAAGAACAGGAAAGAAAGCCATACAGAAATAAAGCAGCTCGATTAATCACCCCATCAGGAGCTGATCTACAAATATAATCCCAATCTTTCAATACTCTCTGCATATCGATACAGATCTTAAATATTCCAAATTATTGAAGAGTGAGATTGTGGGTAAAGGATTAGAGAAATAAGCCTGAGGCAAGCTGGAGCTGTTAAAAAGTTCAGCTGACACCATTCTCACAAACTAAATCACAGGAGGCCTGGACCAGCACCGATACTTGCCTAGCAGGAACAGCTATATACAGATTCAGGGTGCTCCTGGAAACACATATGACATCCTGCCTGTGCATTCTGCTGAAGTCCATGGCATTTGCAAATTATTTATCATTAATTAATTAATTTTCACATCTTCCCCCTTGTCAACATTTTTTAATGCGTTAATTCAAACAAAGATTATAAGCAAACACTGTAAGGATAATTACAAGCTGTGTTTTATAAGACCAAGTTTCTGTTAAAAAAATACAGAAGCCATCCAACTTAGAAAAATACATATATATACACACTGTTCTATACTAGAACAAAGTAACAATCTCATTTTTAAATTAGTTATTTTTTCTATTAAACCACTTATATAAATCATTTAACAACCTAAGTATTACCCTGGCTCTACTCCATGAAACAAATAACAGAACAGACCCATCACCATAGGCATACAAAAAAAACATTTTTCAATTTAGGAAGAAAAAGTATAAAAAAATCACCAAACAAACCAGCCTAAGATGTTGAAGTTAGAACTCATAGTCAGTCTATAATAATAACAATAACAATGATATTTTTTCTTGAAGTTGAACACAAAGAACAAAAAAGTCATTAATAATTGAAGCTTGCCAGAGGCACGGCTATTTCTCTTTTTACTAACTGTCTACTGTCTAATTTAATTACAAGTATTAAACTCCGTGCTGAGGTCAACCAGCTTCAGTTCCTCCAATATTACACTCCAACCAGTGCTCATTAACGTGTCTACTGAATGGATTAGCACATCTGAAGATGTATGTAAGCAGGACGGGCGACAGTCTAATGGTAGCCAATTGTTCATTTATAACAGGACACATGTTTGAGACTGTAACTTATTATCACTAATGTGGAATTTATTAAATTCTAAAGAAAAAAATACCAATACAGAAATCCATTTTTTCGCTTAACATGGCTAAGAAAGATCATATCACTGCTGAGCATCTGTGCCTGCTCCAAGACAAAACACCTTTTATACAATAAACATTGCCGAATTCTTAATATTTTAAACTTTTTTTAAAGGGAAAATTATGTTAATAGACAGCACGTGCCTCTTAAGTGGATATAAAGTCACCTTAGAAAGTACTCACGACATATTAATTGGTATTTAAAGTCTCAAAGTACAAAAACATCATTCAAATTTAATGCTTTTTCTTCTACACAAAGTATTACCTCCCTTCATTTTTCACCACTGTTCATGTGATCCTGCCAACATTTGCAATGATGGCAAAAATTACTACCGTGGCAAAATTAGAAATTGGTAGAGAATAATTTATATGGCTTAACCTACTTCAGTAAAATGCCAATTACTAGTAGGTAAAGGTATTATTATATTTTATGGATTTTTTTTAAGAAAAATTTACTGGATTTTCTTTGACTCTAATCTCTCTGGGTTTATCACCACAAGAAAATCTTGTTCATCAGAAACAACTACCTTTTTTGTTAAAGAGTCATCTGAATCAGAAGGCATTCTTGTTGACACATGGAACATTACTTCTACTGTCGAGGTAGCAAAATATGGAGTGGTCAATCCAGTGCTTTTGTTTTTTTGCAGTCCTCCCATAAAGCCACAATGGTTTGTGAGATTTACCTAGAAATAAAGCCCATGAAGCATTAGAAGAAAAAAAAAAAAATCAGGTGATAAATTTATTCTTTATATAAAATATTTTAAAATACATTTTCAACTGAAATGTAACAAGTGAAGGCCCTTTTTCACAACTATGTTACCAGTACAGTTACACTTATCTAAAAGAGCTCCAACTTGCTGACTAGACTGGAAATCAACAGCAATGCAGTGGCATTCTGTATTCCATGATCACCACAGATGCTGCTGGGAAGGCAAGGTTAGAGAAAAGAAAAGGCTGTGTAAATGAATATTTACTGCACTATTCCCCAATCAGTTGACTGCAGTCACTGACACGTACTTACGAATTTTTAAAAATTCTGTGATACTACAGCCTGTGTGAGAGCCAGAGAATTTTAATTTGTCTTGTTACCTTCCACATATCTTCCTGAGAAATTTTCATTCTGTAACTATGAAAAAAATCACACGAATCTAACTGATAATTTGTAAATAAGCGTGTAAGTCTTAGTTCTACGAGAAACAGTTTTACACTGAAATATTAAGCATGCTTAATGTGCTATTTCATTTTTACAACAGTACCTAAAGAAAGCTATACCTCAGACGTGAATATGTTTAATCTCTGCCCACAGGGGACACATTTGCTTTTACGTTAATAAAGGATCCAGAATTTAATGTTAAGAGGTTAAAATATCAGATGTCTCATCACGGAATATTAATCCAAATTAGCAACTCTTTAATTTAGCTAACAGAGGCTAAGAGAATTAACCCACTAAAGAAGGATATTTGAAGACACTAAAGTGTTGGGGTTTTTTTCCACTGAAGAATCAGGAATGCGAGAAATAAACACCTGTGTTTGTGACAGTCAGCAGACTTCTAGCAGTTTTTCTCTGTTCCTGTGGAAAAGTCAGAGCCACTATCCACACAGCTCATCTAGCAGTGCTCTTATATACCTCAGGAGTAAGAAAAAGAACAAGATGGACACGCATGTGGACACTCCAGATGAGCACAAGTCACAACAGGAACACAAAACCTGCAGTTTCTTATGCAGCCAGCCAGGAGCAGGAGTGATTCCTTTACTTCTGCACGACAGTGCTGAGCTGAACTTTATAAGGGAAGTCAATCCTGTGTAGTCAGAAAGAATGGATGAAAAGAAGGAAATCCTTGTAACAACATCTGACTAGTGACTAAAGAGCTACAGACCCATGTAGATGATGGGGTACACCACAGTATTGCTGACTGCTGGAAGAGACATGGAGTGGTGTGAGTGAACAGATACATGCCTGCAGTGGAAGGCAGGAAAAAGGGAGCAGGAAAAAAGCTGCATGTTTGTACTTTCTGTATTCCAAAATTTGAGCAAAGCTCATACTTCAATGGACTTTACACTTTACAGGCCTACAGGGAAATCAAGCTGCCTCCTAACCAGTCCATGAAAGCCAAGTACAGGACTGCACATTAAAGAATCATCTCTGCTTTCACAAATTTTCTTAAATTGAAAGAGCTTAAAATTAAATAGCTAGTACTGCATATGAAATTAAAACCAGAATTACTCTCTGCACCCTACTTGCGAAACAGTGTATTTCAGTACTTGTGAGTAACGCTAAAGAGCCAAAGACTTACAATATCTAAAGAGATCTGTAATTTTCTCTGTAAACACACTTAGGATAAAAACATTTCAATAAATACCTCCCAGCCAAGACCAGCTACAAAATCCTCATAGGCTTGACTTCCCCCAGTATTAGTAAGAATGGAGTGTTTATCTTCTTGTCCCTCAGCAACATAAAACACTGCAATCTTGTGTGTCTCTCGGCTGTAAAACAGAGGATGGCCACTGCATGAGAGTGTCTTCGCTAATATGAAGCCAAAATATGCAAACAGTACACACAGAGCATGAATTTTAAAACATCAAAAAAGATAGTGGAAGTAAAATACACTATATGATTTCTTTTTCAATATCTTCTATATTTTCATATTCCCATTCCATCTTTCCTAGTCTTCTCTTCTCTAGAGCCTAAAGTTCTGCTGTACGTGAAGAGCATTTAGCCCTTTCATCCCTTCTAAGATGTAGGATGGTGGTGGCTGTACCAATGGCTAATAGAATATCTGGGCTTCTGAAACAAGCAAAACCTGTAACACAGACATTATCAACACCACACTGCCCCATTAACAACAGTGCCTTGTGAATGCTGTGGCAAATACAGCTTAGGCAGATGAATAAAGAATCTTTAAGTACTAGAGCAATGTTTTCTGTTCACTGCTTGCTGTTAAACAGACATTGGAACAACTGAAAGTGATTTCTCACACTTTTAAAGCCTCTGCTGGATTCTATCTCAACTCCTACAGAAACAGTTTAGAATTTTTAATTCTGTGCTGCAACCCCAACTAGAATTCCATCTCTTCAGCTAACTGTATTGGAAAACACATAAACAATTAGCTGAAGCTAAAAATGCGATTTATCAAATATCTTTATCAAAACTTTGACATATCAAAGTTGTAAAACTATTCCATGTTATACATATGAATGTTCATAATTTTAAGTTATTTTGGAGTGGTTGTGTCTCATGATATTCTACTTGTAGAGTTTCACTCTACAAATAACACCAAAGTAACTTCAATGTAACACCAATAACTACAATACAGTGCAAAATGCATGAATAGTTTACAAACCTGCTTTTAAAAATAGTTTGATTCTCACATCCATGCAAATTAGAGCCATTTAAGTACAAGCACACTTAAAACAAAAAAGTAGGTGGACATTAAAAGAATTTACCATTGTCTTGAGTCCAAATTTCTGAGTTCTCGAAGTAACTTCTCATTTTTCTTCAGGAGATGAAAGCTCCTTCTAAACAGAGAAATTTGTAACTCTCTTATCACCTGTTCACTAACGGATACAGAACAGTACAAGAAAGGTCTATGCAAGAACAGTCAACAAATGCTTTTGCCTTTTCAGTAGTCCTTTCTTACATAAAATATTAAGATATCTTTTGAAAAATACACAAGCAATTTTTTTACTCCAGAAAATCTTCCATATCCACTGTAGCCCTGAGAACAACCATTGCTTCTTGCCACTTTCTTCTATCAACCTGTTGGATCCAACTGACTCAAATCTCTTCCCTACAGAACAGACAGAACTCCCTTTGATGCATATACAACCTGCACACTCCACTAGGCCAAAATATACGAGCTTAGTGACAACAGACACTCCTATAATCTACTGTCCCAGGGAGCTAGTGCATTAAACACAGAGCTTTTGCTATTTTGAATTGCAGAGGAGAGCAGAACATAGCTACCCAGCCACAGTTACCCAGCCAGCTGTAACAATTTAAAGAAAAAACAAAACAATACGTTAGAGCAAGAAAGGCACTTTTCATTTCTTTTAAACTGCTCTCAAGATGTTTCCCACAAAACACAGTGGAATGAGTTAAAGAGCAGCAATGTTCAAAACCAGACTGCCTTGAGAATTAAAGACCCAAATAAGGGTTATAACACTGAAAATTTGTCCGATTCCAGTGGTCTCTCAGTGACACAGATTATTTTTGTTTTACAGAATACCCATTTCCCATCAGAGTAAGAAAATATTTCAATGCCTCTAATACAGAATTTGACAGCTATGGCAAAAGAAGATTTCAGAAAGACCCTTAAATTCTAGGATGCTAATATTTGTACATTACCACATGTATATGCAGACATACACCTAATTACACCCCCCCCCCCCAAAATAATAAAGAAAAATGAGACATTGCTTTCATAATGGAGCATGGCTTTTCTCCTCTTGTCCTAAACAATATCCAAACATTGCCAATGTTGAAATAAATGGTAGGGGACATCTTTCCAGTTAGCTAACACAGATGCAATGCAACAGACGAGAACATGACACTTGCAGAGTCTCATTCTGGCCTAGAAAGGTAATGATTTTTGCAGGAACATACACAGGAAGCAAAGAAAGCAAAAGAGGTGCCTTCTTTACCCATGGTAGAGCTGGTGAAAGGATTATCAGAAAAGATAATCACTCCTTCAATTTGCCTTCCAACACTGTTCTGAGGAAAGAATATAAACAGCAATAAAGGCAACAGGTTCCTCCTTTCTGTCTCTCTAAATGACAGGCTGAAATGCAGAAGAAAACTGCCTTTTTCCCCTTAGGTGCACACCCCCTCTGCTCTTTTGTTGGATGGCCTGGAGTATTTTTGGCTTAACCCACTGTACGATCAACTATTATTACACAGTAAGAATAGCACAATTCCTTAAAAGAAAGTTCTTAAATTGTGACTCGTCTTTTCATTTTACCTTTTATCCCAAGAATTCATTCCCAGTATACTGAGAAGTAATCTGCAGTAATAAAATGCTGACTGGGGCTTTTGTGAGGTTGGCTCGTCCTGCTCCATAGCCTTCATATTTAAATCATTGAAATGCTTTTCAACAAATTCCCTCTCTTCTGTATGCTGTTTCAGATCTTTGTAAGCATTCAGGGCTTGTAACACCTAAATACTGCAGGAGCTCATCAAGGGCATCTTCCTCATCCCTGATAGTATCCCACGTTGGTACAGTGTCTCTAAATTTCCTTTTCACTTGGAGTGTAATTCCATCCCTCGCAGATATATCCTCCACATGCTCGAAAGATGAGAGAGCATCTTCTGGTTTATCTTGCTGAGATAATGAAAGTGCAAAAGACGTTTGTTGTGAAGATCCACATAAAGATGATGGTCCATACAAAATGGCTGAATCCCATGAGTATTTGCCAGATAGATCACGCACTATAATTCTAACATTTGAATTAGCAGATGCAAGTCCAGCAGACAGTCCTCCCCCAGGCATGTCATCTTCTGCTTGGATTTGTATGCAAGACACCAGGGAAGTATTGTTTAACACAAAGAATTGAAGGTTTGGGTTCTCAAAAAGTTCAGGAGAAAGTTCAGGACTTTCACTGTACGGATTGTCGTTGTTTTCACACACTTGACTGGTTAGCATAGCAGGACCTCCGCTCATAGGATAGTGGCCTAAGTGGTTGACTAGATGCGTTATCACAGTACGAGCAGCAACAGAAATTAATCCTTGTTGCATGTGAGTTTTCACTGTGAGAGAAAGAACACAGGTTTTAAAAGAAGACTTCAGAAAACAACACTGAGATTTACATACTTCTTTTGGTCTCCTCTTCCTCGTGAGTTTTAAGCAGAGGTTAGGATACAGCCAACTCAGTAATGGAAAATATGTATTTTGATGAACACTGGTCTCACATATAAACAGCATGAAAAAGCATAAGAGAGTTAAACAAACATCTCATTATTTTATAGCCTATCATACCTCCTTACCACAGCTTTGTAATCAGCATAGTTCTAAAATACACTGTTTCTTGATCTAGTGAAAATAAATCTTAAATTGCTGATGAAGTAGAGATCATAATTGTGTTGCAAGAAGTCCATTTCCAACTGCACTGGATTTTTATATTTATACACATCACTACATTGTGAAAAGTAAAGCAACATAGATGCACAAAAACTCTAATCCATCTTAATTTCCCTGGGGAGCACAGAGCTGCACGTTAGGTTAAGAATAATACCTGATGATGTTAAAGTACCATCAAAGACTGGGCTATCTACATTAAACAGTATCTAACAGTAGCAAAATTTTCAAAAAGCAAATCTCATGCACGAAATGCATTTTAAGAAGTTTCAGTCTGGAAAAACATGGAGGGAGAAAGAATTTAATTGTGCCTAGATCTGACCTGCAAAAAGGGAAACATTTCATCCTGCTAATACTTGGTGAAATCAACCTAATTTTTACACTATTCCAAAACTCAGATAAACTCAAATATTTTAATGAATTAAGGTCCTGAAAACCAACAAAGACAAATAAGATGTTGTATTTTTATTACCTATAACCTTCCTGAGGTTTAAAATTTACAAACACAAAAACATTCAGCGAAGCTGAATTAAATGTCCAGGTATTGATAACATACAAGGAAATTAAGTTATAGTGCCATCTGCTGAAATATACGAAGGAACCTTAAGCAAGTTTATACAAGACAAAGCAAGTTGGATGCATCAAGAATAATTTCTCAGTGCAGTACTAACCAGCACCTAGACAACGCAGAGCCTGGCTCATCACTGTCAGGACATTTATGCCAAGCATTTAGCACTTGGCACTGCACAGATAAATAAGGTAATACTCTTCTCAGGTGCCTAGGAGCAAAGACCTGTGAGCTTCCCAGCCACCCGAAGTCTCACACTGCCCAAGTTAAATGCCTTCAGTTAAGCTCTGCTGAAAAACCTCAAGAAATGAGAGGGATCTGTTAGCACATGTTATCACTATTACTGTTTTGTGGCAAACCCTAAAGATCTCAAACCTGACGATGGTTGTTTTGTGCCTGTGTGCATGAACTTACTGCCTTTGAAGCCTAAGGGACATAAGGAAAGAAAGGCCATACAATGATACAAACAGCGGAACATCTAATATGTAAATTCACAAGGTCCATTCCCAGTCCTACCAGTGTCTTTCTCCGAAAATTTTACTCTTGAATTTAAATATAAAATAAACAAATTGGGATATAAATCTGTCATTGCCTCTTATAAAATGAGAACAGTACTTCTCAGTGGGTCTTCTCTCAGAACACAGTATTGTTGATCAGAAAATGACATAGAAAACCTAAATCAGATGTATTAAGAGAGGCGTACTGTAAAAGTAAACTGTAAGATGTAACCTGATATGTTGAAATAAAATAAAGCAGTCCTCGAAACTTTTTTCCCCACACAGCAAATCAGACTTTGGTGATGGCTTCCCTTAGTAAAAAAAAAAAACCAAACTAAAACCCAGTAATGCTTTTTGAAAATATGAGAATTTTAAATTAAGTTCACATCTTAAAGGATACATATTAGTAATTTTTTTCCTAGAAGCACATCTCCTCAACTGGGGACAACTGGACATTCAATATATTAGAATTCTTAAAAATGAGCATCTAAACCATGTTCTTTGTTTCTAGAGGGCAGATCAAAATATGCAATAACACAAGCCATCACAGCTTTAACACAAATTTTACAAACTAAGCCATAGCATTACACATTAAAGCACCCCAGCTGGCTGCTTTGCCAGCCTGTCTTCCTGAGCGAACACCTCTCTGCTCTCTTTACAATGGTAAAGTCTTTTACTTGGGCAATGTAGTTTATATATGTACATAACAACTTCGTAATTTGCTAGAAGCATCGTATATTGCCTATTTTTCTCAGTCCATGAAATTAGCTCTTTTGTGGAAAGGCTGAAGGTCCATTACCACTAATTTGTATCAGCGGCATGAATGGAGGATTCCTCAATTTCCTTAAGATGTGTTGTTAACTCTTTAATTCAACTTTGGCTGAACAGCGTCTAAACAACTACAGCTACGCAGTAGAAGGAAAAAGTAATGACTGAGGGTGGAATTTAACTTCCCTCACCCTTTTAGCTATCTAAAGAATAATGCACCTGTACAGACTGATTCATCTCAGTTAGAAGTCCAAATTGGAGAAATGGGATGAATCACCCTCTGGAAACTCTTCTCTTTCTCCATTACATTTAGAGCGAGCCTAAGAGAGTTCAGTTTAGCTTAGTTACCTGTATTTTACATCAGCTTAAGGAAGTCTCACTGTTTTCTAATTTTAAGCTTCAGGTATAGAGAGATGTAGTTACAGAGGACCCACTCTATAACATCCCTCACAAAACACAAACTGTGCTAATCTAGATGCACCATGTAGAAAATGGTTTTTAAAAAGTGTACTTTTTGTCTCCTTTCAGTAGAAAGGCAAATAGCAAAGCTTTAAAATATTTTAAATTTCTAATTTTTAAATAAAAGCCAAGACAATACATCAGATGGGGGAAACTTTTTCTTCAGAAATTGAAATACATTAGGAAAAATGATTGATCTGTGCAAGAGTTTAAAAAATGTTCAGAGAAATATGACAAAGGGGGGAAAACCCATGACATCAATAACTGGTGGACCACTGTATCTATGCAATGCAACTGCTACCTACCACTCACAACTATCTCTAACAGATTTGTGATCTATAAAGAATACATTTCAAAATGTTTTTGCCTATAATTGCAAAAAAATCCCATGAAATATTATTTCCTTAGACTACACTCTATTCAATGGTCTGATTTTGCTATCTATTAATATTAGAAGATGTATAGCACTTTTCGTTTAATGCTACATAATTTCATGTAACCAGCTTCCTTGTTAATACAAGGGTCACAGAAAACTCAATTTTACTTTTTCCTAAATGTTTGCATCATTTAATATAAAAAATTAAAAAGATTTTAAGGAGAGGTTCCATCTTTATTCTCCCTCACATATGTTCACGGTCCTGCAATGATAGGTAAGAGATCAGAAGCAGGTAAGCAGATCAAGGCACACTGTAGTCCGAGTTAGATTTTGCATAACTAAACTGTGCAGTGAATGGCTATAATGCTACACTATCCTTCGAGAAAGCATACCTCTGTCAGTGTGACGCCAAATCCAGCCTAGTTAGGTGCAGGTGATTAGCACAGGGCAGCACATTTATGCCTGTACTGTAGCTAGAGGAAGCTGCTGTTGATACTAGCTAGTAAATCAGTTCATCAACCTTCATGTAGACAAGCCCTATGATTCCTTAGAGGTACAAAAGCACCACAGACTTGCTGTCTGCAAGTTCAGATGATGCAAGACAAGCTTCCTAGTGAGGTCTTTATTATCAGCTGCTAAAAGTTAATTCCGGTATAATTGTAACACTTTAATATACTTAACACTTACTTTCAAAATTAGTCTTTGTGTATCTTATACTGCAATCTAGTACTTTACCTGAAACCTACAGAAAGGACAATTTCACAGATAATCCTACGTACAACAGATTCCTTGTGAGAGACAGCGCTTGGAACATTACTGAAACAGAAAGGAGAACAGTCCTCTCTCTCCCCACACTGCCTGTTTCCAGAGGATTTACCAAATCTTTGCCCTGATGTTTATTGTAGGGCTTGCTCCAGCCTCTCAATAGGTCCTGTCCTCACAGCACTGCGGTATCACTGGAAGTCCCATCTTCACGGCCTCATACCGCATCACATTGTGGTTAAGTGTCCATAACAATTGTGATGGATCTGACCCCAAACAACAGGAGGCATACCAGGGTATGTCAATCACATCTATCAAACTGATCAAAAGCACCCTGTCTGAAGAATTCTGGCGTTTCAGCATGTTCAGCTTTGCTTGCGACTTAAGAAAAGAGTCTAGCAATCCCCACCCTGTCTTTGTAGAACTTCCCTGATTTTCCTACAATTGTCCTCCTGCTCATTTCCGTTCCTTCAAAACAGATCTCATGATAGCACTTCTACTCTACTAAAACAGAGGCTGACCCATTGGGATGCTGCTCTGCTGCTAGCTTGCACTAACTGACACCCTGTCTTGATTGAGTCCCAGACTGGTTGTTATCCACTAACTGCTCTGCTCTCACTCTTCCAACAACGCCAGGGAGAACAGATGCCGTGCGATCGGTTAAGCACTGCCAATTTTATTCTCTGCCTGGCAATGTGGACCAGAAGTGTTAAGGTTGCAAGACCAGGTTGTACAATTGCTGTAGTTTGCCAATTAAATTTCACGATCTGACTTACAATTCCAGAGCCCTGAAACTTTAAAAACACACGGAGCTACCTTAATTCATCTGGAGAGATAAAAGGAACATCTGAAATTAGATTTATTTAGAAATTTAACAAGAAATCATAAAAGAACAGATCACGTACAGAAATGCGAAATGAAGATATCGATGCTAAGGCTTTGTGCAACTACATTCATTTAAAGAGAAATCTATTCAGGGTTGTCTTTTCAGATTGTCAGATTAAACAAGCCACACAGCATTTGCTGCTAACCCATAATTACAGATTATTACAGAATACAAAAGATGCCAGGCATAAAAAGCTACTACAATTCACTACACTGTAATAGAACACGCAGTGGAAGTTAATTTTGGCAAATGCTTTAAATATTAGCTTTACATAATATGTATAGGTGAGACTGTAATTAGGACAGAATGAATCCTTCGAAGCCTCTTTCATTCTGACCCAGCAGATGATTACTTTTTACTAATAAGACCCCAGCCATTTGACAAAAAGCCAACTATAGTACCTTGCTTCATTCTTCAGTAAATTTAATAATTACAGCTCCTCCTGCCAATAGTTCTCAAATCAGACTTGTTCAATCCAATACTGAGCTTATTAGGGGACAGCTCTATGTTTAGAATTCTTTGGCCAAAAAGTACTTGAGGATGATGAAGCATGCCTTAGACAAGGGCACAATGATTAGCCATTTTCTCTACATAAAAAACAGCACGTAGTCACTACAGACCACAAAATCACCTGCTGTTAGCACACAGCTGCTACAAAGAGCTTCTGCATTTATCTGGTTCTTAATACCTTTAAGGAAGCCTAAATGGAACAACTTAATATGGAGGGAGAATAGCACTACACAGAGTTTCTGGTATCAGTATTAATATCATCTTTTCCAATTTTCTTCCCTGTGTAGCCATTTGATATTTACTAGCTACACTGCATAATATATGCTACTCCGCTGTAGCTTAGTTGCTTGAGTCTTTATTTTTATTTTCGAGTTCTGAAGAAAATGTTAATTTTCTCTTAAAATTCTAAGCAGATGAGAAAAAATTCTCCTCTTGGATAACTCTGTGTTTTTAAAGAGTGTAAACAGATCGACAAGTAATTATGATAGGCTAAAAAAATTCACAGAAGGCTTTCAATATTGCAAGCTCAGATAGGAAAAAAATGCAAAATATTCCCAGCAAAAGGAGCACAATTAAGAAAAAAATAATTTATTGAAAGTAAAATGAAAAGCAACATTTATCCATGTTGCAGTACTTAACACTTTTTGCTGATACACAAAGTGCAGAAGAATCCATATCAAATTGATCTTTATGTTGTTCAGAAGATACTTATTTCAGTTAATCGAACAGTAATTGCTCAAAATTATGTTAGCTCATTCCATACTAATAGTCCTTACCTAGTGTCTAAGTATAATTCAAAACTTATGCTTCAGACAAACACTTCAATACTGCAAACCAAGACAAAATCTTTCTGAAAGAAAATATATATAAGCAATTTGACAAACCTTCAGTGACTGGCTGAAGTTTAGAAGACCTCTCGGAGTCTGGAGAATGCAGTGGTTCTGGTTCCTTCAAGCTTTCTAAATGCATAAAAGGATCGTAATCCATACATGCCAAATCAGAAAGGCTTAGAGGAAAATATTTCGGGTTGCTAAAACACTGAGACCCATAGACACATCCATGCAGAACCTAGAATAAAAACAGAATTCCATGACATTAACTACTGAAATTTCTACTTGACAGTTTTATAAGAAATGAAGTTTATTTTTATTTACATTTTTAATTCAGTTGTTAGAACCAGGTAGGCAGGATAAAATGTTGGAAAATTTTAGATGCTTAATGTTCACAGAAACACACCATGGTCTGCAAAGAAAATTGTTAAAACAGCATCTACACTGAAGTGGGATTTATCATTAAAGAAACAAGAAACAAAACTGACAAAAAAATCACTAAGCTATCTTTATTTTTAGATCTCCTATCTTCTTTAATTACACATGCTAGCTCTAAGCTGCTGGAGGTTTTAATATCTTTCCCTTGCAAAAAAATACCTATCTTTGTTCTGTGTCCCTAGACAGCAATTATAACTTCGTGCTTTCTACTTTATTTATTACTAAATAAAACTGCTTGGTATAAAAAAGCTACTTCCTCGTCTGTCTTATGTATAGCTGTTCTACAGCACAAATGTCTGCTATCGGTATGACATGCAAAAAGTAACTTGATTAAACATCATAAAATGTAAGACAAAATTAACAACTCCAAATATACCAAAGATCAAGCAGTCGCAGTAAAATGTACAAGAACTAAGACAGCACTCCACACTTCAACAGTAGAACGGAGGTCAGCTTCCGGAAAAGTTCTGTCTTCATTTCTGTGAATACTGACACTACCTCCATACATAGAAATTCTCACTTAGCAAGTAAAGAAACATGTACCTTATATATACAATTAAGAACGGATCTTTCAGTCTTATCATTTTCTGCTCCTGCAGTGTGAAGAGGCTGCAGCAAGGTCTTTAGAGGCAAGGCCATTATCCAATCCAATAAGCACAGAAGTAAAGAAACCACCAACTGGAACAAACACTTTCAATTACAAATCAATTAAACCAGCACCTGCTACTTCACATTTATCACTGTATTTTACTTCTCTGTTTTACTTCCTTCTCTCAATTCAGCAGCCAGTCTTCTGCAGTAATGGCAGGTCACACTTGTTTAAATGCCACTGCATTTTCAAAACCTACGGCATCAGCAAAAGCTTTGGCTACTGAGATATTTAACCAAGACCATCCATACAACAGTTTCTCATCACGGTAAGTCTGTGAGCAGATACTGTGCTTAACAAGATACCCATGATTTTTCAAAGTAGATTTGTAGGGTGCTGTTTTTAAAATGACAGATTACACAGGTATAAATTAAGGTTGATGCACCATTCTGCACATAAATCTCACTGTAAAGTGAATCAAAGATTACACAAAACGGAACTAATTCAGCTGCATTTAGTGCTTTATAAATAACAAAGTATTTCCTTCACAACATGTCAATAAAGCTACGCAGCCTCAGGTACCATCTGAAAGAAATGCAACTGCTTTCTGTATTGTAGGCTACTCAGTCAGTGAAACAACCAAATCCCTCTAGGTGAGGTTTTTAAAGACTGCAAAACAGAATTAGATTAAGACACACACACCAAATTATTAATAACTTACTAGCTTCAAATAATTATTTTTGATTTTTAAAACTTAGCTGTGGAAGAGGAAACAATTCAGATAAATAGCTGCAAGATTCTCTAAAATATTCCCCAAGTTAAACAAAAGTCAACAAAAATCCGCTTAACTAATTTACCAATAAAAGACATATAAACATCATACTCATTTCACATTACAAGTTTGTCTCTCAGAGGAACTGAATAATAAACCTAATGATGAAGGGCTCTGAGTATTTTTATATCAACCCAGTTTTTAAGAAACCCATTCAAAATGAGTTTGTCAAATTAGGTAAGCCAATTTTTCACATATTTGACGTACAACAATCAGCACTAGTTCATGGGGAAACTTATTCAACTATGGGAAGCATCCTTGAGTGGACAGGCGGCTAGCTTGGCATACCACTGTAGTGTACAACAGCCCCGACCTCTCGCAAGTGGAGAAGAGAGGCGAAACTGAGCTCTGGAGGCCAAAATGAGCAACAGAGGAACACCAGCTCCTGTGGGAACGGGTGGCTCAGAACCACAGAGCTGCCAGTGATAAACCGCACTGAAGCGCCCACGTTCAAATGACCACTGTGTCCCACAGTCCCAGAGCAAAGCCAAGGAATTCAGAATTCTGAGATGCAGCTTTCAGGAGGCAGAAAGTACTGCTGTGAGTATCAGATGAAGAAAGTGCCCATCTTAGCTAGGAGATTCAGGCCCACTGAAAATATGAAAAGACAGCAATCTTTCCAAGGGTGACAACAATCAAATTCATCTGAAGACTGCAGGCTATGTTGCTCAAGAATGTACTTACAATGCAAAGTGAATAAAATCATAATCTTAAAAATATTTTGAAAGGTATTCTCTACAAGTTGAGAATATATTTTCACTATAAGACAAGTTTGAAAAGTCTACATTACTTTGCTTTTAAGTTCACTAATGATAAGGAAAAAGAAGACTTTCTAATTATTGAAAACAATCAATGTCAATTAATTTTGAATGCATATTTTCCTAGAAAAACTTCAGAAATTCACTCGTGTGAAGAATATTGCTGGAATTCTGAGAAGACTATAGTGTATCATACTTTAAGAGCTGAACCCCTGCTTTAAGGCACAGCATAAATTTTGTAACAACGTTATGTCACAGACCTTTGCAATTAAATTGACACATTAAAAAGAAATGAAAAGTGTTTACCCTCTTGTCCTGTTCATAAGAGGAAGCTTCTGTACTGGGTAGTAGATGGGTAATAGTTGCTATCAGAATCTGGGGAAAATACGGCATAGTTTCTTTAAAAATACAATTTAAATATTTAAGTTTAAAATCACTTTTTTAAGTAGGTAAATGTGACACAATACTAGATTCACAGTTAAATTCCATTAAAGTTATTTTGAGACAAATCACAGTACATTCCTTGCCACCTTCCTCTCCCCCCCAATAAAATCCTTTAAATTGAATTTCGCAGAAGACATTGAAGGAATACGTCCTGTTTCACCGACGCTGATGCATTAGGGACCATGAAATTACACAGCTACGCCAAATATTCAGGCAGGAAGAGAACTTGATTCAACACACTTGTAGGGTGCAGGAAGGACCCTGATGTGGGTTTGAGCTCCATTATTTCTTAGAACTATTAGACTTTGTAAACACTCAGCCTCTACTTAATCAGCAACATGACTGCAGAGGAGCAGAGAAATGCTTGCCAGACCTCTTAAGCAGCTTCCACACAATTCTCTTTCCGGTTACCTGGGAGACCTCTGTCTTTTCTCTGTGGTTCAGAGTCACAGAGGCCATAGTCTACTTCCTTGTTATTTAAAGTGTATTCAAAATAATTATTTTTGCTTTATACTGAAATACTTTAATGCAAAGTGTTTTGCATAAAGATATGCAAAATACAATTGCAGATCCATATGCTAAGTAATAACTTTCTCACTAAACTTACATAAATATATCTGAAAATATTTAATACTAAAAAAATTTGGACTCCATTGGCAACATTGTAATGTAAAAAGTGACATAGTTGTACCTGAGAAAAAATAAGCATGATACAGCCATTTTACATGTTAATATTGGAGTCAGCAAGTAAATGTGATGTGAACCCCTACTGTTAATATTCAGCAAGATTACATCTATACTAATTCAACATTTTGTGAAACATACTTGTAAATAGTCTCGTATTTTAATTTCAGGGAAATATATATTACTGTTCCATTTAAAAGAATTTAAATTTTTGAACTTTTCAAAATTACTTACTTGAATAATTCTTAAAGGTGAGTCAGCTTGATACACTTGAAGTCTATGTACATAATGTATCAGCATGTTCAGCATACTGCAGGCAACTTGGGCTACTGTTTTATTTGGAAACTAGAAAAGAGAACACAGCATAGTAACAATGACTATGCGATTTCACATAAGAGAACCTTAGGTGGTAAGGTGGTCAGGTATTTCAGTGATGGTTTTATGCATATAGTTCCTAATGTACCCATTTATCAGAGGAACAGAATTAAATTTCACTAAATTTAAAAATAATTATTTTATAGTCATAACCAAATGTTAGAAGCTACCATCAAAGATTTGGGACAGACAATCAGGGAGTTGCACGCAATGAGGGGAAAGAGAAAGGAGTCTCCTAACTAACTTCAGACTAGTTACTACAGTATCAAAAAGCCAGCAAAAACAAATTCATTTCTTGTTACCTTAATAATTATTAGTATTAATGCATCACTGCAAAAAGCCAAGGATCCAGTTCTGAAATCAGAGGTCTTTGTTGAGAACCAAGGCAGGTGAACAGCCATGAATCCAAATAGCATTAATAGTGAGACTAACTGTTGTGGATTTGGTAGTGACTGATGTGAAAAGCACTTGTCTAAATGGAAATGAACGCACTTTGGCTTCTGTGCTTACTTCTTTTCTCTATTTTGTTTTAAAGGCAAGAGAACTTTGCAGCACTGAAGCCTGCCTTCAGCAGTTACTAAAATGTTCAAGTTACTGTGTTGGTCAAGGCAAAAGTGAACAGATCTGTACAGTTAATCCCCAGCCTTGGGAGCGGATGCGCATGCTGTGCTACACTCCTAAGTGGCAAAAGAAAGAACCGAAGGATACGTTCCCTTAAACTATTAATGCACAGGACGTAATTGAGGCTACTCCCTTCATTGCACTTGCCTTGAAACATTAAGGTGTGCGCCGAACAAGCACACAGTGAATTTTACAAGTGAATTTTATTCCTCTAGGACATGAATATCCTACAAAGCTGAGCTAAAGACAAATCCGAGCAGAAAGGTGATTAGCACACCAACACTACAGACTTCAGAAGACAGTACAAACCACACAGAAGAAAAAATAACATGCAGCAGCCCCAAGGGAAAGATTTCAAATACATTCTTGTTCAAGAAAATACTCTGTCTTTACTGAAAACAAGTATTCCGAACCATAATACTGATGAATTTCAAATCACTCAGAAAACAAATAGGTAATTCATGCTTTAATCATGAAAAATCCTATTCTACTTCTCCAATGAATATGAGTGACATCAGAATTTCTGTGTTACTAAAAGATTAAAAAAAGCTGTTTACATGTTTTAACCTCACTTTACTTAGCAGTGAAGCTGTCACAGGTGTGTGCTGCAAGGTGGCTAAGCATCTACCTCTGAACTCAGAAAAGGGTATATACATTGCAAAAATACTTAGATTTCATTTCTTGGCTGCTTAGACTTTTCTTAATCAATCCAGTTCTATTAACTTTTCAGGGAAGTGCATATCTCACAAACCTTAAAAAAAAAAAAAAAGCTTTAAGAAAGCTGAAATGCCTGGGCAATGAAGCCTGAGCAGAAAATTAAGGATTTCAGAATAAAATTTCTGAATGGTAAAAATTTAAATGTGGAAAACACTGGAAGAAAACTCTGCACTGGGCCAGCTCCGTATCAAAGCAGAGATATAATTTTTCACATTTAAGGTCTTGAAAAGAAAAGAGAATGTACAAGCATAACCAAAAGTACAGAGTACGAAGCTTTAATTAACATTTTTTATATGTAAGCATAAAGAAAGACTATGAATATAAGTCAGCCACAGAGACAGAAATCAGAGTACCCAAGGTACTTAATTCTTGTTCTGACTTTCCCTGTTTCTCAGTGGATGCAGTTTCATGTTATTGTTGGCTTTTAAGTAAAACATAGCAGACACCTTACACCTGCAAGTCTTCCCAGAGCTTATGACAAGAGCACCACCGTTTTTTACCCCTCATGAGACAGCCTCTCTCCATGCTGTGAAAGTACGTGGTAAGAGCACAGTAAGCAGGGTACAGATTCCAATGTTCAAGCTCGAGAGACAACCAAAAAAAATTAAATAAAATTGAAAGCGTAACAATTTGATTACAGAACTTGAGATCAAATCCAGACTGCTGGCAACATCCTTACAAGCTTGCAGGAAAACCCCAAAGTCACTGGAGAGGACAAATAGGGTGGACAAACCAGAGCAGCTTAACACGGAGTACCCAGATCACCGAATTTAAGAAAAAAATTACCTGAGAAAAAGGCTTGGAGACTTTTCAGAGTCTCTGAATAATCAGGTATTCACTACTTAAAACCAGGGAGCATTTTCTTGTTTTGTTTGTCTTTTTTTTTTTATTTTTTTGGGAAGAGGATCATCGGGCTCTAAAATGAAGATGAGTGAATGATTTCTAGTGCTGGCTTTTGCAAATTAGTTAGCCTCTTTCTGTTTTCTTGTTTGAGAGAATTTCTTTTTTTTTTTTTTTATTTAAGAAAGGGAACAAAAGTCATTGGAGGCATAAATTTCACAGAAAGACTGAACAGTATAAAGTAATTAATATGAATAAAATTCAAATCTTGTGCACTCAAATTTTCCTATTTATGGGAAGCGCACCAGGTAGGAAGTTTTGCTCAAGAATACAGAGATCGGCCCAAACTGATCAAACCCTTCATCTACTTAGCAAATCTGTCCCAGCATGGTCAACATATCGCATTTCAAAAGAATGCACAGATGCTCAAGAACAGACACTTATAGAGCTGTGTGTCCTGGAAAGCCATTTTCCTGAACTCAAGCAGCAACACTGAGGTTATGCTGGACAGGAAAACAATTCACCCCTTTCAAGTCAGCAGCTTTGTTCTGACTTCTTTTCCAAAAGCCTTCAGATGTGCCATCAAGGCAGCTGTGCGATGCTACAAACATTTCACCCGCAGTACTCTATCTCTGGAAAACGCTGCCTGTTATAAAGCATAAGAATTCACTACTTTTATATGATTTTGTATTTAGTAGCGTAACTGTGGACATAATCTTTTAAAAGTTACTCAATGGGGGGAAAAAAAAAAGAAAAAAGGAAGCTTTCAATGAACTGGCACTTTGCCTGGTACCTAACTCTTCGGGTCTTTCTCGGAAGGGTAGTCTTACCATACTTTTCACCTGCAGGCGTCCATTGCTTTCTGGATGTTCCATTAGTAACTTAACCTTATTCATACTTGTAAATAACTTACGTACAGCACTCGTTCAACTAAGCCTTTACAACATGATTTTGTGATGTCTCTGCAGCATCTCTGAGAGAAGCATAATACAATTGTGAGATGGCTGGTTAGGATCCTTCATGCTCAGTCTCCAGCAGAGGTTAACGCAGATACAGCAGTTATCGCCACACTGCCGGGAAATACACTAGCTATATTCAGAGTGAGCTGCTGGACTGCAGTTCTGAATATGCTTCTGTATTTCAGGAATAGGTATATAATTGTTGATTACAGTTCTATTCAATGTTTTTTTGCTCAATGGTACTTATCAATAAGTTGGACTAGGACTATAGCTCCCTATCCATTCATTTCTCCTGAAAATACAAAAATAATCCATTCTGGGAGTTCAAATCTCTGACTACTTGGAAGGCAAGAGACTGCTTAGGTAACAAATTTGAGCTAATTTGTTTCTCCCATGATATATTTCTGAACTCTTCATTTCATGATTAAACTCTATTGTGAATGTAAACCATCACTCAGAACAGGAGAAAAGCAAACACGCTCTGGATGCTTTTGCCAACACAAAGTAAAGCAAAGTAGAAAGACAAAGATCTTTGTCTTCTCATTGAAGAAGTAATTTATGTTTAATATAAATGAGATACCAATAATTGGTTTAATAAATACATCAAAGAAAAGTAAGGGAAATCACAGTGAATGTCAGGATTAAAAATAGTTCAAATTTTGATAAATTGCATGAGTAAGATAAAAACAGCATCATTTGCCTAATACCAAACTTGCACAGGGACTTGATAAAATGCACTAGTTAAGGGATATTAAAAAGCAAAGGGAAAACCATGGAAGAAAGTATCAGTGAAGCTGCAAAGGATGAATGCGATTCTGCAAAACAGGAAATTGCAATTTAGAGTCTAATACTAAAAGCCCTGCAGCTACCCATTTTAGACATAGACTCAAATCCTGCTTCACAGGATGTGATCAGATGATTTGCCAAGATACTTTTCAGCTTCCCATTGCTGAAAAGAATAGTTAGTTCACATCATCTGCCACAAGCCATGCGTAACAGGCCTACGCTCTGATTTTTATCAACGTGTATATACAGAAAGACTAGACTTTTCGCTGAATTTTGATGTAAACGAAGAGCATGTAGAAAGGTTCTGAAAATAAACTGGGAAATATTTTAAAAGCTGAAGATACTGTTTACAAACATTCAAGTTTGCAAAATGCTATTACTAAAAACATTTTATTTTCTATTGTAGCTATTCCATAAAATACAAACAAATAGGAAAAAGATTTGCAGAAAACAGGAAAACAAAAACACTCATCAAGGGAAAATAAAAAAAAAAAAGCCCCAAAGTGCAGCTTTTTAACAGAGACTATGAAAGGAATATACTGTTGATGTACTAACACCAGCACAAAATCTTGCGACCAGAGTTGAAATCCAGTGAGCCTACTTTCACAATAGGGAAAACTGTCTTTCACAAAAGGAAAGGCAGACAAATATCAGAAAATCTCTTCCATTCAGAAGCATTTTACAGGTAGCGCAATTAACTAGCTGTATCCGACCAAGCTGCATTTCCAGGTAAGAATCATGGTGCCTACCTAGCTGTGCTTTAGAGATTCAATCAAAACAGCAAATACCGAAACAGTGAATCATTCTACATTTCAAGAACTTAATGTGAAGGAGAATTGCATGGTGACTGTAACTGTAAAGTTTCATCTTACAACTAGTTTCAGAACCATTTTGATGGGCATAGGTGGGAAGGTTTTGGTAGCGGGGCCTGCAGGGGTGGCCTCCGTGGGAAGGGGCCAGGGACCTGCTGCTGTTCTTCCTATGCTCCCCCCTCTCCTGCTGGGGGTGGGCGAGTGAGCAGCGAGCGGCTGGGTGAGAGTCTGGCTGCTAGCTGGGGCCAACCCATCACATCCGTTAAAAAGGAAAAGTGAAACCCTTCTGAAAAACTGTGAAAATACCCAGTGTTACAGCATGCCTCCTAAAAACCAGGAAAAAAATTTTAACGACAGCCATAAAAACAGGTGCTCTTTACGTTTCACCAAAATTAAAATTCTCATTATTCCCTTTCAAAAGGTAGTTTATTCACATAAACGTGGATGCCAACTCTTGACCTGTCTTTGGATTCAGATTTTTTCTGACAGGTGCTGGCCTGAATGACATGTCCTGGAATGACCACAGAAAAGCACTTTGCCCCAGGAAATCAAACACTTTCCAGTGCTTCCACACATGTGGCAAAAGAATTCTGCACTCCTCTCTAAATATCCAGCCAGGGCTGAGAAGCAATACTGCATAATGCAACGGCTCTCGAACTCAGCAGTGAGCAGGCACAGAATGTAGCGAGGATATGGGCAGCAGGATTTGGTTGGTGGGAGCAAGAAGCGAGGAGTTGAGCAAGCAGCATGGGAAGCTTTGGCAAACTTCTGCCTGGCCTTTGTATTTGTCACCTTCCCACCTTCTTCCCTGTCCCCCTCTTACACGGGATGGTCCGATCAGTCTGGGAGCCCAAGAATACAAGGCAGCAACTTGGCCTGGGACAGAGTTATTGCATATGGTGGCAGATGCCTCACAAAACTGGGATCTCTTCCAATTTCCTCTCTGCCCTGGTCTTTCCCTTTCGCAGCGTGTCAGGAAAACACACCATGGAGGCTTTACGAGTACTATTAATCAGAGCTGGGGAACCCAGGATGCCAGTTAGTGAGGTATGTGACTTCCCTCAGCATCCATGGCCAGCCTAGACAGGAGACACAAATGCTGGAGAAGGAAAGACTGCAAGCCCTTCTGTATGCCAGAGTCTTTGCATGGATCTCTATTGGGTGTACACGGCAAGATTTTGGTAATGGAGAGGCTACAGGGGGGTCTCTGCGAGAAGACGCTAGGGGCTGTCCTATGCCAGACACAGCCAGCTCTGCAATGGACCTACCAGAGGACACAGCTGAGCCCATCTGCCAAGTGTGTGGTGCCTTTGTGAAAACATATTGAAGAAAGAGCAAAAACGCCACACAGACACAGAAGGGTGGGAGGGAGAAGAATGAGAAACAGCAGGCGAACACAAAGGTCAGAGGAGGAGGAGGAGGAGGTGCTCCAGGTGCTGGGGCAGAGATTTCCCTGCAGTCTATTGAAAAGACCGTGCCAGAGGAGATACCCACCCTGCAGCTGTGGAGTACCTCACAGTGCAGCACTGGATATTCCCCGAGGGAACCGCAGTCCACAGACAGCCGACACTAGAGCAGGCTCATCCAGAAGGACTGCAGCCCGCGGAAGGACCCACACTGGAATAGGGAGGAACGAGTGGCAGAGAGGCACTGTTATGGACTGACCCTAACTCCCCACTATCCACCCCCTCTGCACTACTTGGGAGGAGGCAGGAAGAGGCAGAGGAGCTGCGAATGAGAGAGTGAAGTTGAGCCTGGGAAAAGGGAACGACAGGGAAGGGTGGTGTTTCAAACTTTGTCTTTGCTTCTCACTGTCCAAATTATTTTAACTAGCAATAATTTAAATTAGTTTCCCCACATCAAATCTGTTTTGCCCATGATGGTACCTGGTAAGCAACCTCCCTGTCTTCATTTTCACCCATGAGATTTTTCATCCTGTTTTCTCCCCCTGTCCTGTTGAGAAGGGGGATGGGTGAGTGGCTGGGTGGGAGTTTGGCCCTTACCCAACGTTAATCCACCACAGGCTCCTACATCTAGCTACAAACAGATGCAGAAAACCCTGCCGGAAGCTTGTGTCCAGGATGTGGGAAGTGGTATAGCTGGACAAAGTCAGACAAAGCCAGTAGTGGTTTTGCTGAAACCTGAATTGCAAGGATTTATTAACGAAAGATGGGATGATAGACAAACTACTACGCTCCAAAGGGTAGAGGTTAGAGTGAAGTGGCCAACGAAACATATTAAGATAGAGATCCACTATCTTATCTCCCAGCACACCATTTGCTCCAAACTTAAAGAAGGGTAAAGATGTCTTTTGACAGCATTCAGAGATCCACAAATTAAACTGAAATCAGTCCTTTGTAAGGACTGAACATGAAACTGTGAAGTTAGGATGCTAAAACGTGATCATGACTTTGAAAAGGCAAAGTATCTTTACACATACAGGCAATATACATTGTAGAAGTGTTAGTCTCTCACCTTTAAAGAAACACAAATCACATTCAGTGCTTCCTTGATCCGAGGATGATGCAATTCATGAACCAGCTCCTCACAGATCCAAATACCAAGGCTGCAAAGAGCAACACATCTGCAAAACAATGTTGGAGAACAAGCTGTTGAGAAACATGCTGCAAGAATCTGCATTTTTTATGATTTGCAATATGTCTTACTGAAATCTAATAAATATGGTTTTAATATTTTGAAAATAACTACAAAAAAACCCTTTATAATGCTGGAACTTTAAAAATGAGAAAGAAATCCCAAATACCCTGGTGAAGGCACAGGAAAGGACAAAGGAAGCACCCTCTGGGCAACTGAAAAATCCAAAAGACATCAAGAACTCCTGCATCTCTATGTGCTTTTTGGATTAAAAATACTACCTGAAATCAATATATGGGAAATTCACATCCATTTTCTTCAGACAAAGTAAAAATTGTGGTGGGAGATACCTCCTCCCCAACATTAAGTGTTTGCTCATACTTGTTTAGAGCTTATGGGACACAGAGGCAAGGAAAGGGAAAGTTATTTGTTCATAGATATTTGCATTATTTTAGATTGACAATAAACAAAGACAGTATACATATTGTGATTAAATACTTGAACTTTTGTTGTTCTTTCTTCATTTAAAACCAGGAAATAGAAGAGAAGTGTAAAGGTAAAAAGTATTTAGATAGATGTGTTCAGATCAGCAGAGATGGATGAAATTTATTCAGAAGTGTTAAGGAGCTAGCTCAAGCAATCTCTAAATCATATAGTAATCATCTTCAAGAATAGAGGCTGCAAATACCAAATATTTTGGAAAAAAATTGAGAATTCAAAATCCTCTAGACGAAATTGGAAAGCAGTCCAAAATCGTCAAGATGAAAGCTGGTCATGGGAACTGCAAAGCATTATATCTGGGAAGGAAAAATCGTATGCTAGAATAGAAACAGAAACAGAAGTGGCTATAAAGCCTGTGCTGTCAAAAAGGGATTTTAAGGCTACACAGAGTCATGAAACTGCTAACAGGTAGCAAAAATACATCTTGGAATTAATTCTACATCACAGTGTAAATAAGACGTCAAACTACCCTGTTTTGTACATGGTCACTGAAATCTCAATTGCAAGACTGCCTCCATTACATGTCGATTAATACAATTTAAGAATAAAGACAAGCTTGAGGGAGTCTAGGAAAAAAGCGACAAAAATCATAAACAGCTTTGGGAAATATTACTTATGGAGGAAAAGTTGAAGGATGTACTGAAATCTAGATCACAATTAAGGAAGGAAATCATAAGAAATCTGCTGATGTGCAGTAAGTCACTGAAGAGGTTAATTTCAAGTAGAAAAGATTTCTCCTATATACTGGTCATAAAAGCAACCTGACTGAAAAAGTTAGGTAAGTCTTGGAACAGACTGTCTAAGATTTTTGTAACTTTCTTCTTTGAGAAAATTTTCAGGACTGTTTAGGCAAGCTACTGCCAGGAATGTTTTACACACGCTCCAGCCTCAGAGGAGTGGGAGCTTACAGAAATACTCTGGGTCTCTTCTCAATCTACACTTCTGCTATTTCTGTAGTATATGCTTCAATCCTTTTTGAATAGAATAAGAACACAGCGTGGATTTAACAATAAATGTAGACAGTTTGTGTAAGCTGACACAGAAAATAAACTTCTAGTATGCAGAAAAGTGGACAGCCCTAGGTCTGTGTTACTATTTAAAGTTTTCTTCATGCTACTGAGAACCATTCCACATCTTATGACATACTGATGTGCAAAATATCCAGGAGTCTGTGAGGTTTCTACCAAGAACACCAGTTTTGTTATCATTCAGGGTAGTCTCTGAAAAACTGTGTAGTTAAGTGGCTACAATGTTGTTAGTAAAGAATGACAGCCTTAACAGCACAAGCAGAAGAAAAGATGAACACTGAGTTCATCAATCTATCACTTATTTTTCAGACTGTCAGTAGCAGGAGAGGAGTTCGACTACTACAGTTATTAATCTTTATAGATGGAGATCTAAGAGCAGAGTATATTTCAGATAACTAACTTCCACGAAGCTCTGTTGGGTCAAGTATGTAATAAAACACAAAACATCAAGCCTCTGTAGAAGAGATAAGGAATAGAGATTTATAGCTTGGCTAACAATAACAGCACTCAGACTCGCTAAAGATACACAAAGCTATGTACCCAAGTTCCAAGAAATCTAAGTTTTATCCTAGGAAACTGCAAAGACAATTAATCCTCTACCAGTGGCGGAGCTGATGTGGCAAAACTGTAATGAAGTTCCTAACTATAACCTCTGATAGTAACTCAGGTGAACTCTGTACTGCTGTGAAGCAGATGGTATCAGAGAAGTTATTCCCAGAAGAGACAGTGGATAAACTGCCACTGAGGAGTGAGGCAGTCAAGCTTCAGGAGCTGCAGAAACATCCTTATCCCCACAACGAAGACATCTCTCTCCCAGAAGATTGAGAGTGGCACAGGCAACCCAAAGTGACATTGGGAATGTATTCCTTTTTAATCTTCATTTAATGTTATTACATACAGTGGTTCAACTTTGCATCCTGGGGACAGCATAACCCAGCTTTCTGAAAGGCTGGGCATGCACATGCGCTTCTGCTCCTATATACACACCCTCACAGCCAGACGGGATATCGGGACATGCAGGATGTTCCCTTCCTCTTCCCAGCCACGCTGCCAGAACTAAAGATGCTAGTACTGTGTGCTTCAGTGCCACAGGATCAGTAATAATATTCTGAACCAACTGGACTTAAACCACCTTTTTCAAAAGGAAAATGGAGAGTGTTATGCTTTTCAGAACTCAGTTTTGTAAAAGAACATGAAAAATGAAATGAAAATTATCTCAGAACATCCGTTTCTCCCTCTGTGTTTAGCGAGAGGACCAGCTCAAGTGGAGAACAAGTAAGCGGGCTGATGAAAACCTTGAATGTTTTAAGGTTTAATGAACTGCTCTTTCCAGTAGTATTTCTCAGGCATGAAGTTCTAGTATTTTGCATTTGTTAAGGGACAATATATTAGTTGGGCAAATATAAACACTCCACCCAAATACACAAGGCACAAAACTGTGTGCGTCCTTGGTAGGTATTACAGATTCCTATTCCAAATCCTCTGGTGGTGGGTAAGGAGGAACAAAATCCTAAGCAAATTATGAAACAGAAAACTGTTAACTATCCTTTCTGAAGTTCTCTCTTTGATGAAGATGCTTAACTCTAAGCATCAGAGCAATCATTCCCAGTTTAATGCTCAGCTCAGTATTTTCTGCTTCTTTTCCATGCTGTAAAGAAGGGCTCACGTACCTTGGACTACTTCCGTTTTTCAAATTAAATCATGTGGTAATAAAAAAATAACCATACCTTCCTCATAAATAATCTTGTCCTTCACCAAAGTAAAAAATGCCTCTGTAGTACACAGGGCAGGCTAGTAAAGCACACAGCTTATATTCTTACCTGTACTTACACCCTTTTCTATTGGCCACTATCAGGGAAAGGGTACTGGGCTAGACCAGCCTTCGGTCTAACAGAAGATGTCTGTTCTACTAACATCTCTATTTACAATTTCGAATTCACTTGGTAGACCACAGTTTTGATAGTGGTGAAGAAAACCATGACTAAAATACATATAAACTTTTACTTTAAGCTCTCTAATATATTGACCTCAAAACAACGTAATAAAGAAAAGAATCTATCTATTTAGAAGCTCTTTTTGCATGACCTACCGTGCAGGACCAGATGGCTCCTCTCTGGCTGAACTTAACACTGTTTTGATTATGAGTTCCTAAAACAAAGAGGAAAATATTCACTGATTTACCAATGACTCCATCACATGAAGCATCAGAAAATTAGAATGCACACACAGGCATGTTGCTTAGCTGAGTCTCTAGGTTTGTGGTCAGATTAATTTTTTGCCTACCACTACACCAAGCTTCTAAACTGCCCAGATGCTTATTTTTGTGCTACCTCAAGAATATCCCACAGGTTACTGTCCTAATTTCTGCTGATTAACCATTTATCCAATTTTTGCCAATATATTTCCATAAAATATCAAGGGTAAAAAAAAAAAAAACAAACACCAAGGACTCCGTACAGCTAGCTTCTATAAATAGCACTGGAGGGTATTCAGCGAACTTTGAGGTTTCAATAAACATTTTTTCCCCCTTCAAAATTATATTGATTTAAAAAGTCTTTGGAAGTATCATAGAAACATAGGTTGGAAAAGACCTCGAAGATCATCAATCCAACCATCAACCCAACACCACCATGCCTAATAAACCATATCCTGAAGTGCCACATCTACACGTTTTTTAAATATCTCCAGGGATGGTGACTCAACCACCTCCCTGGGCAGCCTGTTCCAATGCCTGACCACTCTTTCAGTCAAGAAATTTTTCCTAATATCTAAGCTAAACCTCCCCTGATGCAACTTGAAGCCATTGCCTCTTGTCCTATTGTTAGTTACTTGGGAAAAGAGACCAACACCCACCTCACTACAACCTCCTTTCAGGCATTTGTAGAGAGCAATGAGGCCTCCCCTCAGCCTCCTCTTCTCCAGACTAAACAGCCCCAGTTCCTTCAGTCGGTCCTTGTAACACTTGTTCTCCAGACCCCTCACCAGCCTCGTTGCCCTTCTCTGGACACGCTCCAGCACCTCAATGTCTTTCTTGTAATGAGGGGCCCAAAAAACTGAACACGGTATTTGAGGTGTGGCCTCACCAGTGCCAAGTACAGGGGCACAATCACCTCCTGACTCCTGCTGGCCACACTATTGCTGATACAAGCCAGGAAGCAGTTGGCCTTCTTGGCCACCTGGGCACACTGCTGGCTCAAGCGCAGAACAGTGACTACAGTGCCTCAAGAACAATGTCAGGAAGAATTTTTACTCAACTGCAGTGAAATGTTCCTAAAATTGTAGATTGCTCTCAATAAGGCTCAAGTAAACAGCCACTATACAATAGAAATGAGAAAGAAAGAATTCGCAATCAGTCCCCAAAAGGGTGCAAGGTGTAAAGCAGCTTCCAAGCCATCATCCCTCTCTAAACTGAAACAGTGTGGAAACTTACAGGGAGCCTTTCTTAGACATAGTAATCATACCGGACACACATACAGTAATTAAACACACGAACTGAGCTCTGCCCAGTTTCAATATACTGGCACACTACACAGCTCTGTGTTATGATAGAGAGGGTAACATCTTCATTAATCTTTGCTTTTTGTCTAAAAGAACATACTGATGCACAGAGGTTTTATAAAGCGCCTAGGAACACAGGCAGAATTCACCGGTTGTGAATTCTCAATACATTTATTTAATTTATCTTGAACCTCTCAATCTTCTCGTCTCAGGTGATTAAATCTGTGAGACTGCAAACAGCTATAATGAGGGTAGGCTTGAAAAGGTGAGATAACACATCATTTCCTTTTACAAACATACAAAAACACTTTATTATCAAGTTAATAGCAATTATAAAGTATGTTTAGTAGTATAAAGTTTGAGAAGATTTTATGGGATCTTGAGCCTTATAATCTATTTGACATTATTTCTGAAAAATTTTAGAATCTTAAAATTTTAGTATTTCCTGGAAAAAATATCATATTAAACATATACTTGGTAGTATACTTCGGAATAACATCCAAATATTTTTAAAATTCCTACCTTAACATCTGTAAACTGAGACACAGCAATGTCAGGAATGTTTGGGTGAAGAGCTGGTAGCTCACGGTACAAATTGGGAAAACAGACTAGAGATCCTAAAAGAACTTGCGCTTCCACTCTTGGTGCCTAGAATTAAAAAAGGTGTGGATAAATATATTCTCTCCGCAATAAGGAAGGTGATGTTTCTAACTGCCTTAAAAGAGAACAACGGCTGAAACTCTGCATAGTTATTTCCCTTCTCCTTCTGCAAATTCTGTAGAGCTGAGCAAACCGAGACCACAGCCCCATGGATTGCTATTCAGGCACACCCCATGTTCCCCTTTTCCACAACCGTTAAAAGGAAGTGGAGGAATTGTTAGGACTACAGACGAATGACTGAGCTGTTAACCAGGCTCAGGTCTTAGGTTCAGCTAATTGAATAGGATCTGGAAAATTACTGGACACGACATGAGGCACTGCTGGACATGACAGGTAATAGTGTAAGAAGCTGACAGAGGTTTCACTTAGTACCTTCAGAGAGGTTGGATTTCACAGTTGGTTAAAGGGGGAATGATGTGACAAACAGTCAAAACTCACAGACAATTGGAGGGGAGTATTGTGGAGCTTTCGGAGAGTACAGTCATGCAAGGGCAACAGCCCCTAGGTAATCATACCAGTGTTGCTATGTAAGGCTGAAGTTGCCTGGATAACAGTATCAGAAATACATCTGAATAGTGCAAATACCAGCAGAATTGAGCGCTCAAGCCTGATCATCTCTGTCATTGCACAGCAGATATGGAGGAATAAATACACTTTTTAAATGAAGGTACAGTCAAAATGGACATTTATTTTAAAACATTTTAAAGCACAGATAAATGTCAGTCAATTCCAAGAACTCTGAAGTAGAAGTTTCTCCACTCCAACAGTAATTTTTGCATTCTTCTCGTATTTTGTGGAGGACTTGCATGTGTAGTGTTACAGAATAAACCGCTGACAGTATTCTTACTTGCTAACCATTACTTTAAATTCTGGGGACAAGCTAACAGCCTAGTCAAGGAAAAGCACTGCTCAGTCTTCTCTCAAACCCTTTCCACTCACACATAAATGAGAATGAATCGATGAATACTTACATTGAGGAAAGAAGAAGCAGCCACTCTTCCTGCTGCTACAATGAAATCCATAATAAGCATGGTGGCACCAGGCAAACCAAGTGAAAAGAACTGAGGAGAGCAGTGCTTGATGATTGTATTTACAATATCCTTGAGGAGGAAAAGGAGAAAAAGGAAAAGAAGAGTATCAACAAGATGAACAACGTATGAAAAGAAGGCAGGTGTTTACCAAAGGCAGAGAGTGCAAAAGCAAGAAAGCAAATTCATTGTGGCAATTAATACACTCATTACTGCAGCAGAGAGTAATATAAAAAGATAAATTCCTTAAGCATACTCATACTAATACAAGTAAACTGTGGTATACCTTATAGATCAATTTAACCTTGGACACGAAGGTCCACCAAATATGAAGTTGGTACATTCACTTATATTTAGCTTTTAAGAGTTCGATAAATGATTAACCATTCATTTAAAAATGTAAAGAAGAGATATAGTGAGATAAGCAGCTCTTACACCTTCTTAATAACATGCTTAAATCCTCTCCAACAAGTATCACCTGACCATAACTTTAAAAAAAGGTATTAGCTTCTTCCATATATCCATATGAAACCAAAATACAAAGAAATAATAATAATAAAATGTTTTGTGACATTTCTGGTATATATTCAACACAACGTATTACAGTCTTGTAGACTTAGTAAGGCAGTTTTTAAAATTCACGTACATGATGCAATTTCTTTAACATTATTGGAAAAAGTATTACTAAAAACCATTCCAAGTTCACAGACAGGCAAAAAATTACCCCTTCTCTGCTTTGAATAATTCTGCAATAGTAGTGATATCCCACAAAATGGCAGTATGGTATAAGAAATCTGGATTTGAAATCCAGCAAGAAAAGCAGTGTAAACTGGTTGTTAGAGGACAGAAACTGGAGATCTGTCCTATCCATATCCATTTGTGAAATAATTTTGGACTAGTTCTGTTTTGGCCAGGTAATGAAAACCAGGTTGTCTGAACTTTTGATCTCCCTATGCCTCTAACTGCTCCTTAAAAAAAGTTCATAAGACAAACTTATTCACATTTCTGATGAAAGCCTTTAAAAAGAGTGTTTAAGCCATACAGTATTTTCAGACTTGTTTGTATTAAAGCCTATGAAAAAGATCTACTCCCCCTGATTAGATATACTTGGTATGTCTCAGTTTGCTGGTTCCTGTACTTGCTGTAATAATAAACTGCTCCAATATAGTGAGCACAATTTCCTTTCCCACTAGCTAAACTGTTGCATCAGGGAGCAAGTCAGAAGAACAGTAGATCTTACACAGATCTGCTTCCTTCTCTTCCTTGCATGCTTCAATCTGTAACATACAATCTGTTAAAAAAAAAAAAAATGAAAGAGTACCTTTTCTGCCCTTGTATTTGCTTGAAATGAACTACAAAAAAAGCATTTCTGATGACATGACGGCCATTTATCAAAGTTTAGAAGAAGTATCAGCCACATAACCATTTTCAAAGACAAAGTTAAATTACTCAGCTGAAAAATCATTTGGTATTTTTGACAAAACTATTTTTAGTTATACTATTTGTATTAACCTGAATTTCATAATTAAACTTACTTGATCAACATGAAGAAGTCCACAGTGCATTATATTGTAGAAATGAGTTAAAAAATCCCTGTTTGGAGAAACATCTTGTCTTCGCTTCATTGTCTTACAAATGAGTTTATAAGCATGTAGCTTCCCTTGTTTGTATTTATCAGTCAGCATTGTTGCCTACAGTTTTAGAACAATATTTATTATTTATAAATATAAAAATTACATTAAAGATTATTCTACAACTACATGAACTTTTATTTGTGTTTCACTGTTCAGTGCTCAAATTTACCTTGAACAGCCACGGCGTTAGAATTCTGAGTGGTGGAATTAAAACTGGTGGAGATGGTGAAGTTAGGTTATCTGTTGAAATACCAAGATTGTCTCTTATCTGCAGTTATTGAAAGCAAAACAAAAAGATAAAACATGTAAGGGAAATATATACAGTGGTGGTTTTTTTCCTTCTGAAAATCCTGCCTTACTGAATCAGGCTGGAGAGGAGGTTCAGTTCTTTTACCTTGGCCAGATTCTGCCACAGTTCACATAGGTAATCAAAAACCTGAGCGTGAATCTCTGGATCCATGATGCTGTTAACATCTCCCAGAATTCCCAACATTCGTCTCCACATCACAGTAGCAACATCTGCATGCCATCCTGTAAGTGTTCCCCCAGCCATCACGCTGTAACATTCTGAGGGGAATTCACTAGTCTCTGTAACGGAAGAAAGAAGCACAGTGAGACCTACCTCTCCAGAGAAAGAAAAGTTTCGATATAACTATTACATACCTAGTTTTCTTAAAACCAAAAGGAGAAAAAAATATATTAGGCTTTCAGAGTAAGATATTTCTTACCCATTCAGCCACATCGACACTGGAAATGTTGAACTACGTGTCTACTTTCAAACTCCGTAGAATTTCCTGTTTCTTATATTCTTTCCATAAGTGAGCCTTAATACCGGTCTGCTGGACCTAGTAAGGCCACTCCTTTTGTAAGTACTGTCTTACAGTCTTTTGAGTCAATGACTCTCCAGAACTCCACCTGCCTGCTTCCAAGTACAATTACTTTTCCACTTTTCATTTTTCCCAATAAAAGACAAAGACGGTTTTCCTTCAAATCTACTAGGAATGTATTTTATTGCAAATTGAAGAGAAAGGTGAGAGTAAACTTATCTCTGGCGACTGTTCTTTAAGCAGTAAATTTATATGAGTGGAGAAGCAGCATTCAGTACCCTAGCACCACAGTCTAACTCTCACCTAGCGCTCTCGACACATCAGCATTATATGAATGAATGCTCTTTTTTAGGTGGAAGATGTTTAATCCAGTTTGTCCATACAAAGAAAACTTCAATAGATTACGATGGCTTAAGTCTACTCAGTTGACGCTTAACTAACTAAAGAGCCACACTAAACTAGCTAACGAGCCACAGTTTTAAAGCAGCAGACATCTAGAATCTCCTTTCCACTCCTCTCAGATTTTCAAAACACCTCAGCACCAGAATTTGCTGAGATCTTCTGGAAATCTTGCAGCTCCTACAGGCATACAAAATCCAAATGAAATCTGAATTCAGCCTAATCACATAGCCTCTTCTTTCGAAGATCTGGACCACTGTGATAGAGACACTAATGGTTTCTAGCCTGTAGATTTCAAAGTACAAAGCAAAATGATGTTATTTCTGTCCATCAGTAGGCTACTTAAAGGAAAGGGGTCTGAAATATGCATCAGACACCCTTCTGTTTCCATGAGACCAAACATGGGAGAAATGGGACCTCTGTATTTATAAAGTGAATGTATCCTAGCATTCAATAGCTAAGATAGTGGAAGTAATTATAAATTTGTTTAAATACGAAAAGGAATACAACCGATATTCCGATAAAAAATTATAACATTAGTTTAAAATTATGTCTTATTACTGGTACATCAATAATAAAACAGTCTATGGCAGGGCAACATACTAGATAAAGCTGCCACGACTCCAAGCATCAAAAAGAACAATTATAAATGTGTGGACTACTAATCCAGTGCTAACAGTTCCAGTTGAATGCAAGATAAAATGCAACAGGTTTTTGTTTGCTTTTGTATCACTATAATTAAATATTTTTAAAAGTGCAGATAAAATAGCCTTGTACAGGATTGTCTACAAGTAATGTGATGCTAGCTACTTCACTACATGGCATTGGAAAGAAAGAAAGAACAGGTTTATATTTTCTGTTCCAGATATTGCCTAGGTCATCTGGCGTCTGTAAAACAGAGTGGTGGAGCTTCTCATCCAGCTGCAGATCCTTCTGCTCAATATGATCTGCATGAAGAGTGGCAGGAGAGGGTGTCTGTGATCGGGATCCAAGAGCAGATTGGATTGGAGAAGCACTTTCAGAGCCTGCAAATGCAATTTTTAACAGTTACCTTAAAAGGCTTTTCTATTTTCTTGAGCTACTGAAATGTTGACTAAACATAGCATTACAAGAAAACTGAACTACTTTTATATATCAAATCTGGGCAAGAAAAGATAAAACTGTAAGCAGATCTCCCTGTGAATGGTGCTCTGAAAGAAAACGAATTACATGCAGGAAAGCTGAGATATGAACATCAAAATCAGACAGGTAAATGGATTAACAGAGCTCTGCTTTAGGTCCAAATAATTTTAAATATTTTTGTTCTGCAGCACTTTTCAGTGTTCTGAACCAGTCAAATTTCTCTCCATGCTCCCTCACCTATATTTCTCTCCAGCAAAACATTTAAGTAGAAATTTTCCTGGAACAACTGCTTTTCCTGGTTGATGGATGTTTGCAAGTTAATTTATAAATAAAAGCTCAAACCAGCAACCGACAATTTTCTATGTTTATCTGCCAATTGGGTTGAGAAATCCACATGGAGGGAAAGTTCTGTAAAGTCAGAGGAATGTTCTTTCCTCTAAGACAGGAAAATACAAGTGTTTGAATGGCAGTGCTGCAAAGGCATTTTTCCGCTATCACCACTGAGCAACATCCTCTCCAGACAACTATGCGATCTCCTCTGCTGAAAGATCTGTGGAGAGGGAGCAAGTACTTATACTTTTCTTCTGCGCTATCTTAGTTTCACTTCCTGAATTTGGCTGAAGATCATTATAAAAAGCTGAGTTCGGTCAGAACAGTCAGACGGCAGAAAAAAAGAGAACAGATATTCACCACATACTTCACTACACATCAGCACATTGTAAAATGGAATCATTCAAGCCTATTAATTTTAAATCCAAAAACATTGTAATGATGTGTGAAGTTCAGTATCAGAGATAAACTGAACTTTAGGGACAGCAATGAAAAAATGAGCCTTTTAGAATAGTAATTTTCCCAAATTCTTGGCTGTGAAGTGTTCTTTCTTCTAAAGAGAACAAATTGTTTAAAGAACTTGACAGAAAATGTCAGTGTTATCAGAACAGAAGTTGTGGTAAACAAACTTAATTACATTGTTAAACTGCAAAGGTCTCTATCTGACTTAAATGGCAAAGGCAATGAAGAATTTACCATCAGTTTAAATCAACATCTCTATGCAGGACAGATGGACACTATTGCTTCACACAGACTACTGTTTCACTCGACAGGTAATGATACTCTTGTCTTGCTACTGACCACTTGTTTTCCACATACAAAGATAATTCGAAATACACACTTCAAAGATTTTCAAAGATATCTTTGCCTACTTCTCTTCCATCCTGCTCGCTAACCGGGGATGGATGAATGTAGATTGTGAGAAAGAGTAAGAAAGAGTGACGAGGATGACAGAAAGCGAGGGAGAGTGGGACAGAGAGGGAAGGAGATGGAGAGAAAGCGTGGGCAGAGGAGGGAGGGCAGCATCAGGCGAGGGAGGGAAAGAGACCTTCATAAGATGGAAGAGACTGAAAGGAAATAATTATGGAAAATTTGTTGAACTACTGGCATCTTCGAAGAAGCACTAAAAGATACTCCAGTATACGTGGATCAAAATATGACAGAGAATACTATGGGTTTGATTTGTTCTAGGAGTAGTAAACAGCAATCAATAGCAAATTCAATCATTTGCTAAGAATATGAAATAATGTCTATATGACATTAAGAAATTTTCCTTCCAAAAACTTTCAAAGCAAAACTACCTAGAAACTAGTTGTTTTCTGAGCAGCAGAACCACCGAAAACTCATCTCTTACAAGTGTGTTTTGAGGTTGAGTTTCTGTATGGATTTACTGGTATCTAATATAGTGAATTCACATTGCAGCCTCCCTGTCATGGGACTCTGCATACAGGCAATCTTCACTAGATAGCTGCCTATCTTTCATAAAATTTCAAAGAACTTAATGTCTTTCTGTTCTATTCTTCTATGTCAGTTTAGCAGAAATTAGACAATGGGCTCCAGTATCGTTGGGGGCATGGAACAGTCAGACAGAGACAGACAGTGTAATTGCACAAGTCTTGCTTCCTCAGGAAATCCAGCTAAAGTTAAATGCATGTGACACAAAAGCTGCCTCTCTAAAACAGTGGTCCAAACAACAAGAAGAGGCAGGCACAGAATTTCTCAATGAACAACTCGGTCACTAATTGCAATCTTCTCAATTCACCTACAGCGCAAACTTGGACAAAAATACCAAACAGTAATGAAACTGTTAACATATAAAAAACAAACAAATAGAAACAGAACATATTTTCTGCGAAGACTTTCAACAAGCACACAGCAAAGAGAAAAATGGACAGAACAAAAGTTAAGCTGAACATTACTGAACAAGCTGAACAACAATGTCCAAGAAAGCTAATACCATGCTTCTTTCAGCAGAAAGGCCATATTAGAAAGTGAAAATTGTGGCCGAGGAAGTAAAGATGTTTTTCAGTATCTCTGAAAATGCAAAGTTTGATTTCTCACAGAGAACAAGACACTATATGTACATGTAAGCTTTCACAGATATGCAGGTACTTGTTCCCAGGGTTGTAACAGGAATGGTAGTGTGTAACAGTTACAGAACAAGGAGTATGAAAACGACTATGGACATCTTTACTTCTCATTTACAAAATCAGGCAAAAGAGACTGTTCTTCCAAATACTCCACAGAGAGGAAGATTCTCTCTTTCAGAAAGGAGCCCATTCAGTTTGGGTTAACTGCATCACTTGGTGGTTGCTAACCTCATTGTTATTCTCTCTCTCAAGAAACAGTTGCAAAGTAAACCAGTGGAGCCTCAAGCGCATCGACTGAGGTTGTGAAACACTGCTTCCTAACAGGCTTACTTTTTCGTGAAAATAATGGGGAAAATACTAAAAGCAAAAGAATTCTTAAGCTACACAAATGGAAACTGATCTTACATGGCACAATAACTGACATTTTGCATACTGAAAGCTCCCAGTTACACAACAGACACTACAGAGGGAGGTTAAGATGGATGTATATAAAAGAATCTCATGATACTTCAGTGTGATACACTGCTTTGAAAGAGCACTGTCAAAACCTTCTAAGGAAAAAGCTCTTCCTCAAAATTAGCTACTTGACTACTGGTAATAGAAGAATGCTTGTAAGAGATTTAGCATACCTTATGTGGTAAGAGTCTTCTCCCTGGTAACTGTACAGATTTTCTCATAAAGGATTTAAAATAGATTTAGCACCAAGTCAAGGGTTATATGGGTAACTAAGTCAGACAAAGGTTTTACCCTTATGTTATTTCACACATTACTTCTCCATAGCAATCAAAAAATAATTGAAATCCAAGAATCATATTATATAGAATATAGATTCATTGCAGAAGCTGGAACTTGCATTCTTCAGGATGGGTGGAAAATTTCTGAAATAAATGCACTTTTTAAAGTTTTTTTTTTAACTACTTTACCAGTAATAGTTGCAGCTTCAGCAGACAATGGTTGCTGATTGAGACTACTTGTTTCCGAATCTATGTGGAGTGTAGTTAGACTGGCCACTTCTTGCTCCTCGGCACTCTGTTGCTGTCCTGAAATTGCATCAGCGTCAGTGGAAGCTGGCGTCCCTGCCTCAGTGCCAAAGCTGAAATCTGTAGGAGGAAAGCACTGTATTAACTTACAACCTAAAAATGCCACTAATATAAAAAACAAAAGTCCAGGACCTCTAAAATCCTTAATGGAAAACTTGTACTTGTATCTCCTATGTTACTATCACACTGTTGCAAAATTTACATAACATGTAACAGCAGGAAGTAATTGACTACTATGAATATTCTCATCCCTGTCACAGAACTGTGACTGTACTTCTGGCAAAGACATTCCTATTGCACGGCCTTACTCTGCTTAGTTCTTGTAAGCACACCTACATGAGAATAAAGTAAAAATAATGGAAACATACGTTAAGGAATTTATCTGCAAAATTTACAAGTTGGAAGAAATACCCAAGTTGGTTGCTAGAGCACTAACTTCAAACTAAAAATATTATGGTGAATGATATTCTAACAAACGGCTTCTTCAACGCTAAGGAAAAAACGTCATGTTGAGATCACTTAGTTGCATGACATCTATGTATCTAAAAATTGTAATTTCTTCAATAAATTACACCATATAAACATTACTTGTCTCTTACATAGTACATGAAGTCATAATTCCTAGCAACCATAATGACCCCTACTGTTGGACAAGAATGGGAATAGATAAATGAAATGAATGAAAAGCATCATGTTATTAAACAAAGCATACTAATTTTACCATATTACACTTAGTATCTTGATTAATCTACAGATACAGAAAGACCGTTACAACAATACCAGAAGCTGCTCTTTATGTTTTACCTAAATATTTTCAAAAAAATTAAAATAACTTTCAAAACAAAAATAACCTTTCATTTTTACAGTTAGAGCAAAACAGACAGATATGCCCCAGGGAGAAGACAATATTGCTCTGTAACTTCTGTTCACTGTTGTTCTGCTTTTTGCACAGTAGTATTCCAGTGCTGTTTTGTTTAGTATACTACAAACATGACAGCCTCTCTCAAGAACTCTACTTGCTCCATTAACATGCTAATGATTTCAATGGGAAATCAAAATAACCTCTCTTTACAGAAAACAGCAACCATGCAACCTCACAATTGAAAAAAAAAAGGGGGGGCGGATTCACAAGCAAGCAAGCAAAACTGCTAATACTTTTGGGAAAATATACTTGCTTTCAAATTTGCGGCCATCATACTGGAAGGCGCTGAACGAGTCAGAGTGGCTATCTGAACTGATAAGGTCACTGCTGCCCGCGCTGGCAGGTGACGTCCACTCGGAAGGCACGCCTGGGTCGTCTATGGGACGCATTTGGTTCTGTTTGTTCAGTATATCAGGAAGGTCTTTAGGAACTTCCAGGCTGCCAGGACTGCTTCCTCTTCTTGTCACATTCTAAACATTGAAGAGACATAAATTATCTTACAATCTTGGATGGCAAATTTACATTAAATGGAAAAATTAATCCCATATTTGCAAATGTCAGAATGTAACAAATAGTTCCTAAGCACCTACACCAGAAACTGTCACGATACTACATATGTAGCCAAGACTTCCCCAACCCCAGATAGGCATCAGCAAGTGAAGAATCCATGCAGTCACAGAATTTAATAAATATAAATTTTATTTACACACTGAATTTTTGGGCACATACCTTAAAAGGCTAGGATTCAGATTAACATGTGCCACACATGTATTAGGTACTTGAGAGAGAAAAATAGTGAAAAAGTACTCCAGATTATGTCTACATTACTAAAGAAAACTTGTTAACCTTGGTTCCAGACACAAGCAGAAAAAAATGTCAAGGAATTTTGTGTTGTCTGGCCTATAGGCTACCATGCTATAAGGTAAAATTTAATGTTCACCACAAGCAAGTGAATTTACTAATTCATGAATTAATTTTCTTATGATTACGCCAAAACCTTGGTATTGACTTGGACACCAAAGACAGTATATAGCAGAAATAAGACATAGATTTGCTCATATAAAAGTAAGCTAGTGTTCTATTTGGAGTCTATTTTTTTTTTTTCCCAGAGATAGGACTGTTTGCTTGAGAGGGAAAAGATGATAGTAGAAAAGCCATTTTATGAAACAGCTTGAAGTCTTATGCATTATGAGACTGAAGATGACTTCCTTTTAAACAAGGCACGGTCACTTTCCTATTCTTTTACTACCCTACTACTAATAAGAGATTTACTCAGACTGACAAGCTTTTCGTGATACAAGGTTTTAGCACTCAATAGATATAACAACGTAAAACTAATCTCCAGAAGTTGGTACTCTGTTTTAAGAAGGCATATCTATTTCTGTGTGCTAGGTTACAAAATCACTGGCAGTTTCAAAACATCTATTCAAACTTATCTCAGCTGTTTTTTTGCTACCTAAGAAAAGCACCAGTTCTCTTGTCTGAACTATTAACAATCAATATGCTTGCCCATCTATGGGAAAACAAATAGTATTCCCGCTCTTTCTCTCTGCTTCTGTGTCCAGCTGTGATGATTTCTGTTTTATTAATTTGCAGACTAAGTTAGCACTTTTTTTTATAGACTTGAAGTTAGCATTTTTGTCTTGTAACTCAAGACTTACTAACAAGAACATTTTTCACCAACAATCAAGTTTCATAAACATGAGTTCAATACAAAAGAGAATAAAGTATACATTACGACAAACTCCATAGGTACTCTCTTGCCATTTATAAAAGATGATGATAAATAAAGCAATTCTTCTAACCATGTTGAAGAATCTTCTTCTGCCCTTTATTAGCAACAGGTAAACTACTTGTTGACAACTTTCTACAGCAACATGTCTTAAAATAATCTTAAAAAATATCTTAAAAAAATTATAAGCTGAAAAAAGAACTGTACAACTCTGACAGGCTACGTTTAAATTGTTACCCATTCTGTTCTTCATTTGCAACTTTTTTATTATTTCCCCTTCTGCTGCTAGTTAATAAAACACTTCTCTTAAAATCAGTTGTCTCATTCTTTAAGCGTTCAACACTAACAAAAAATTCTTGCCTTAAAATTGATTGAAATTTCTCATTATAAAAGACATTCTAAACAACATCACACTTTCAGGAAGAAAGCATATGAAAAGCTGGTTCAATTAGCAGAGAACTATTTACAATGAATTACTCAACACTTGTAAGTGAAATTAAAAAATGAAGGTAAAACATATACTGGTGTAGTTCTGTAGTCTGTTGCAGTGGCTACACCTGTAGAGAGTAGTATCACACTACAGCACAGTACCCAAGTACCCACCACACTGAGGACTGCAAATTTACATATAAATTATTATTTTGAAAGTGTCTGTGTACAAAGATCTTTACAGGTGCAATTATGGCCGTTTAATTCAGTGAGACTATTAATCCGACAATAACTTCTGTATTGCTTCTACAATGAAGATTTAATACATATGAAAACACAAATGGCACAAAATGGCACGAAGCTCTGTCAAACCAAGGAATAATTAAGTGATATTCTTAATTCTTTCTGATTCATAAAACCCAGAGAAACAGGTTTTAGTGAACTAATTTATAACACCATTGACCACTTCACGCCTATAGCATGGACTTACATACTGAAGGAAGTTTAAAGGCTTACCAGTGCACTACCACTGCGGAGTCTCTCGGCTATAAATTCATCCATGAGGTCAGGAACATTTGTATTGCTGCTGCCAATATCACTATCAATAGGGTGCAGCTTTTGACTCATGTCCTCTCTATTAGCTAAAAGCAAATGAACAACTGTATATAATAAAGAACACATCAAGACATTTCCAAAACAAAAGGTAAAAAAATACACCTGCTAATTAACAGAAATAAAAAAATCAAAATTGCCAAACATGCATTTTAAGAACTTCCCTCTTTTAAAGCAGACTCTACTTTAAGAATTAGTAGAGCTTCTTCTTCCCACTAAGCAGGGGTTAGTCGATTTCCAGTATCACCTTTAAGAGCAAGAAGCTTATAGGTAAGCACTACTCAAAGTTGTTAATGCTTGCTTTAAGGATACAGCATATATTCTTCCTCCATATCACAAAAAATAAGTAATAAATCCTAAAAATTTTATATGATTCCTACAGGCTCCTTCTTCACTGCATTCCTAATGAAGAGCAATGTGGTGGAAAAAGTAACCTAGGTTGTAATATGTACCAATGACAAATGTCAATGTGGCACTGTATATCATTAGTATAAATAGTGAAAATAAAACCTTATATAACAAAATTACATGCTAGCACATGGAATGAAAATTCAAACTCCGGGTGGTGAATGGTTATGAACAATTAATTAAGTTCACCCAATTATCAGTGTCATATTTTCGATATAACTATACTGTTCATATTTAACTGTGGCTTACACCTCACTTCATGCTCTCCGCCTTTAAAGTCTTCAAGTTACTCCAGTTCATGCTCTCTCTATAAGAATTTTTCCCTCAGTGTCATCTCTCATGAGACCACAGTGTAGCTTATTCTAATACTGAGGCTCTGTTAAATGTTACAGATTTCAAATAAAATCTACTTCCAAAATTAGTGCTTTCTAGAGATCTCTTTTTCAGAAGTCTAGATTCTGCAGAGAAGCAAATCGCTTTTTGGAGACCCATGACAGTCATGCTCTCGTGGTGCTTTGCTTACAAAGACTGCCCTCAGGTGGCATTAACATCTCGATGCAGGATGCGTTACAGAATCCTCTGTTAATCATGCCAGCATAGCAACGGGAAAAAAGAAAACCTACATTACTGCTGAAAGTTAATTTATTGCTCATTTAAGGTTATTTAAGATGTGAACTAAGACAATGGATATTAGAGCGACAGCCTTCTTTTTTGATCAGTCCACAGAGGTCTCAGAGTTAGCAGGAGAAGGACTATCATGAGACCTTCGTGAACATCCACAATTCCAAGAAAAAAGAAAGCAATGAAAGATGTTGCTAAGATGTAACTGCACCCATTTTGATGAACGAATACAGAAAGACCTACAGCACGTTTTGAAAAAGATTCAAACAAAATCTTAAGATTAGATTCACAGAGAACTGCCATAATTAAATCCTTCCAGTAACAGGAGATTTCTATTGAAGACTGTTTTACAGAAGTTAGCTAAACTGACCTCCAAATGTAAATTTGAGGGGCTTTTTTGTTTTGGAGGAGGAAAAGGAGGAGGAGGAGGAAGAAAACACACTAAATGAACCTGAAATACAATTAGTTCAACCTAGCTGGTTGAGAGCCAGGTCCTTCTGACAAACAAAGTACACCCAAGAGTGGACTAGTACATTCTGATAACATATGCATATGCCAATCATTCAGTAGGCTGAATTTTAAGGCTCTGCATGGTAGATGAAAATTCAAAACTCTCAAGGCTTAATGCTTTGTTAGGTCATTTACTGCCTCTTCCTCTTCCCTAACCTGATGGTGTTCAGCAGCAAAGAGGTTCAGCTAAATATCTCGAAAAGGGAAATTAGTAAATTAAAGTATGTAAAAGTAACTTATGCTGGGAAAAAAATCAGCTGGCTGTAGGCGCATGCATAACCAAACAGGGAAAGCGGTGATCATCCCAAAGCCTTTTGATTGCTTATCAGAGCTTGCTTCAGTTGCATTAAGCCAAACTGGTGCTGCCTTTCTCCTTTTGTGCTCTGCACACTGTTAGTGCTCACCTGCAGCTTTCCTTCCAAAATAGCCCATTACATGACTGTACAGATCCCTCAGTGGAGCCTCTGCTGGCATTCTGTTCTGCCTCTGTGGGGAAACATTTGCCTTCGGCTTCGAAAGAGCATGTACAACAGTTTTATAAACACCACCCAGGGAGCCCTGCTGTTGGGCTGACTCCTGACCTGATGCTCTAAAGGCACTACGATTATGGAACTGATTAACTGTAACACCTTCTTTTTGCAACATGGCTGCTTGAGCTTCTGTAGACTCCTTAACTTGCTTGCTGCCAGCTGAAGCAGCACTGATTGCATCTAGAGGTCTATATACTCCAGGTCTAACCAGCTCCGGGACAGCTGATGAGCTCGTGCTTGCACCGGTACCGCTGTTGCTGCTACCACTACCGCTACTACTGAAGCCACTGAGTTTTCGAAGTCTTGCTTTCCAAGCGGCCTCTTTGCTCTCAAGAGGATTGTAAAATTGAACCGATTCTGTAGATGGCCTAAAAGTAACATGAACGCTATTTCTTTTTTTAGTCGTTATTTTCATGATTTTGGCCCTATGAGTTACTGTTTCAGGTATACTCCTTTTAGTTGGTGACAGTTTGCTTGTGCCTGTGGTGTGAGGCATTTGAGGGTTAACTTGTGCTTTAGGAAGAATTTTCTTTGCATGCATAACACGTGAGTTGGTTACTCTTTCATTAAACTGGGTACTTTTATGCTTTTCAGCTACTGCTGTTTCGACAGGTAAATCTACATCAGCTTCAGTGGCTGCTTGCCTGTACAGGTATCTCTTCCCTTCTTTGCTGCTAGGACTACTCGACCCATGATTGAACATGCTTTCATATTGTTTATCAATATTCAACTGTCTGGCTTTATCGAGCGCTTGGTTTCTTGTAAAAACATCTACTTGAGCAGGTGCAATATTGCTTATAAAGCCACTCTGGTTTTGGTCTAGGTGCAGCTCTGTGTTATCAGCTCTTTCTGTAACAGTAATGCTATTCGTGCATTGAGCAGTCTGATCTCTACTTTCTAATCCATCCAGTGGTAATCTATCATTCCTGTTTACTGATGTATCAACTTCGTGAGCAGAAGCCTCACATTTATCTATCTCAAAGTTACCGCAAAGGTCTTCTTTTTCTTTAAGATATTCTCTCAGAGAGGAAAGGAGATCATCTTCACCTTCAAGGTCAACATACTGGCTTTGTTCAAATGCTGTGTTTGCAAATTCTACCGTCCCTATTAAATGACAAAGATGGTCATAAATACTATCCCCAACTTCCAAGGAGGACTCTCTGCTATTTGTATCAGTGATATGGCTTTCAGTGGATCTATGCATTGAAGAGGTCTCAGTGGAACTCTGTAAGCTTGGAGCGTGATGGGATGAACTGTCAATGACAGGAACTGCACCTTTGGATCGTTCAACTGCGAATGGTTCCAGGATGTCAGAGGTGCTGCTGCTTCGTGGCAGTGGCTGTTCCTCATTTAATGCACCAAAAACTTCACTTGGAGCATCCTCACTCTGTGAAAAATGTCTGACTCGAGGTGGACGTGGAAGAATTTGAGCATCGTCAATGTCTGTAGGAAAAAAGTGTATGTAACATGCACTACAATTTACACACAAGAGAATATTTATTTACCACTACATCCTAATTATGTGACTTTAAAAGCCAGGAAAGTCCAGAACCTTGTTTTCTTATGCACAACAAAAAAACTTTTTCCAGTACTAGAGTGTTAAAAACACACGCACATAATATCCAGTACAGAATGTAATATAAATGAGTTAGACCATCAGAACAGTTTTAAATGTTAACATGCATGAGAACAAACAGTGAGACCATGGAACGTTTGGAAATACAGTTAAAGCTAGGGCTGTGCCAATAAGCTGAATAATTCAACCAATATTTTTCCAGTTAGCTTGTTCAGGAAATGGTTACCTGGAATACAGATTAGCTTAACAGTAGTGCCCTTCATGGAATTTACATCTTCAGAAAAATGTACAACTCCAAAGAGAACAAGTAGGTTTTCTGGAAATTTACAACTGTTTATCAAAGCAGCAAACTATTACTTTTTTCATAACTTGGGTGAATATATAAATATTACTGAAATATCAGAAAGAATACTATCATACAATTACGATATTTTTGGCATATGTAATGTAGTTTATACCTAAAGACTAAAGCTTTTAAATTACAGGGAAGAGCTGATCCTATACAGGAAAGATGACTATACGTAATTGATATTCAAGAGATAGCTTTTTTCCCTAGAAGGATGTTTAGTCTCTCATCTTCAAAATACAGAGCTAAATACTAAACGGAGGCTTACCTCCCTCTCTTCTTTCAGTTTTACTCAAGCAAATGTGACATTTAAGAGAATTACCAAATTAAGGACTCTGCTACTGAAAAACATCTTGCAGCCTCACAACAGTTAACATTAGCGCAAACCCACTTTTGCTTATGAAAAACCAGAACATTTGTTACAACCATTTAAATCAGTGATTCCTTATTTCCATTGAGACTGCTAATATGTTAGCATCAGTTCAAATCAGAGTTAACTGTAATGGAAGCTACAGTTCCAATACGGATCACCTAGGAATTGTACAGAAGTATCGTCAGCCCACTTCACACCATGCACCAAAGTATACAGCCTTCAGGATTTCCTGATACGTAATAGAACACTACATACTACCAAATCACTGGTGTAGGCAAGACTAAGTATCTCAAAGACAACTGAACTAATTGCAAGAATTGGAGCTCTCTTGCAGTGTTTTTATGGGATAGGCACTTCAACAGTAAGGTAAACACGGCTGTCTCAATTTTCTGTTGGTTTCTTTTTAATAGAATCACTTATTCCCCACATTTACGTTTTACTACCCACCACCGGAAAAGCTGTGGATATGCTTTTAAAGTCAGGAATAACACTAAAGAGCTTAAATGAACACCAACAAGAGTTACTTGCCACAATAAACAGACTTACCTCACTATTCTATCTAGAAGGTTTATCTTTAGGATTGCACAAAATTTAAGCCCCTCCCCTGAATCTGATGCATTACTGACAAAATAAATATTTCAAATTATTACTTCATGTATCTCTATACCTATGTTAGTCATATTTAATAATGATTATCTGAAGTCAGATAATCTTAAAAACCTGTTTTAAAGTGCTCACACTCTTCTCAGAATGTTAGAGCTGGAGATGAAATTTCTCATGTTTTCCTTCTGAGCAAAGCATACAAACTGGAGGAATGAGATACATCCGTACTTAACTAAATGGATGCATTGAAAGAAGATGAAAAGTGGTATTTCCATGCTCAATTTTTCAGACAAGTTACAATATGAAAATTAAAGTTTAGCCTGCTACGAAGTTAATTAACTGTAACAAAGCTATTAGACAGGAAATAGAGAAGTCTATATTGGAAAAAGAGAGTAGACATCCAAGCTATTTCAGAAAATAAACGTGAACTGAAAATCATTGTACGTGGCACAATTTATTATCCCTTTCCTCTCTCTTCAGCTCTGATAAGCAACTAATTTCTCATCACTGTTCGTGTTCAACTTACTACTAACTATATGAATTAAAACCCTCTGAAATGAATGGTGTCTCTCTCTAGTTGGAACTGTTATTTCAAACTCTATTGACTTTGGCAGAAATTAACACAGGTTATGTTTATATAGTCTCAAAGCTATTTCTCACAGCTGCAAAGAAAGGACCATAGCATTCAAAAATATGCATTATAATATTATATATGAGATTAATATACGTAACTATGATAGACCGATCTCATCCTGAGCCCCCAATATGAATTCTTCATACCTTTTATAAACTCAAGCTTAACTACAGCAGCAGCCTGAGGATTGCATTCTGTGCATGCATGCAGTGATTATGATTTTCTGGGATATTAAAAGTTACTGGATGGAGAACCAAATGCATGCTAAGCAGCTCCACATATTGAAATAAATTCAGGTAGATTTATTTCAATGTTGATCCAGTATCAATTTTAGGTGATTACGTATGCATGACTAGCACATACAAGTACACAAGTATTTTCAAACCAACATGTAGTGCTTGTGCCAATAGAGATTTCTGTTTTGTAGAACAGAGGAAGAAATAAAGGAAATGAAAAATACACTGTTATTGCAGTATCAGCACTGAAAGTACAGACAATGTTTAAAAACCCAAACGAACACCTCCTTCAGAAACAGGCCTCACCCTTGCACACAGGTATACAGATTGGGACACCATCAATTCCTAAGGAGTTTTCACTAACTACATTGCAATTGTGCACCAGAAGGCTGTGTATCTGACACACTACACGCACTCCAGAGAAACGCTCGCCTAGTTCTTGGTATGTTGCAGTGAGGAAGAGACTGAAATTGGTAGCTCCACCCAATCTCACCCAATCACAGCTTCCTTTAACTCAACCTCACCTCTTCTTTTTCTGCTAAAATGCAGAAAGAAAAGATAGTTTTTCAGCATGAAGTGGGAGACAGATATGCTAAAATACAAACTCATGGAGAGACACATGCTGGGAAGACAGCATGAGTGCAAGAAGATTCTCATATAATGTTGGGTCAAGATTATATTTCATCATGGAAAGTTAGTTCAGAAAGTGGAGAAAAAAACAACATGTTTTGCTTCCCAGCATTCACTTTGTTTCTTTTATAAGAACACACTCATTCTGTGAGTTTCTGGGATTACAGAATAATTACAGACATTTTGACATTACAATTATGATTTCTTTGTATTTCCTCTTTACGCTTACTTACTGATTAGGAAGCAAGGTTGTAAAGGCATAATATATGCATCCCTTTCATGTTGATACTTCCTTTGTTTTTTTCAGTCCTGGTGGACAAGGAAAAATCTCCCAACTGCAATTCATTAGTCTGCCATTGTGGCCCATTACTTCCAGGAATCTTGCCTACATCTCACCAATACTTTTTTTCACAAGAGGTCTTGTACCTGAAAATCCTCAACAGGAGGAGGAGTGAATCACTATTTTGCTAGTTACCCTGTACACATGTAAGACTGAATTTCCTATGATTGTAACGGGTTAAAAGAAAAGTGCTTTTTAGAAATCTTGCAGATTTGTAGCAATTGCATTATACCAAATCACTGTACTAACTAAGCATCTTAAAGCATAACACCACTACCACTTTCTGTATCCTATTTGAAAAGTTGCAAATATTCTGCACATGGAAATACATCATAACTTAGAAACTACATGAATGAATTACAATCAGGAAAAGCATCTTCTATGATGGTAGACAACTAGATGTCAATATTGAGCTCTTGCAATACATTTTGTTAACCTACTGAGTGATCTTCAAGCAGAAACATTATATCTCAAGAAGTAACAAATTATAGCTGGGTGTTATGCCTTCCTCTAGAAAATGAATATGCTGAATTGTACATAAAGGTTTTGGCATAAATGTTTTCTTTTGGACTACCTGTCAAGATCCAACAGTGTTCAGCGAGCCAATCTTTCAATGAGGAGTTTCCTAAAAAGGAGCTAAATACTACTTCAGAAAATTTAAGATTAGGGCATCCTATTCTACCGGACTCATTTAAATTATCCTTTCCTTTGAATTGCGTTGGATCTGAAAGTCAGTTTGGATAACAGGGATATTCACATAATCGTGAAGTAAGAGGAAGGGCTGTCACAGCTAGCTAAACATCATTCAGTACCCTAAGGCACACTTATGAGAGAAACAATTTGATTACTTCCCAGATTACACGCTGTACATCTCGACACAGAAGGCTTTCAGAAAATAACGTATTTACTTAAGAGGAAAAGGCAAGGAAACTGATAAAGCTCCATGTTTGGAGAAAAAAAAAAAAAAAGAGAGAGAAAGAGAGCAATAAAAAATGCAGAAAATTAAGAGACCAAAGTGCACTCTGATTCAGTGTATAGTTTTTCCTTTACTCTGCTACTTCCCCATCAACACTCTAATGGCTTGCTTTTCTTCACTAGAGTTTTTTAGTTTTCTGGCAATGTTCAAGGTTCTTGGGCACATTATGAAGATCTTTCAATGCCCGTCTGTTGGAGAAGACACCAAAATCAGAAAGCGTCTAGGACTTCTTCTATGTTATCTGCGCAAAGGTCTGTAAAATTATGTCACTTTCAAGAATTACATTGGTAGTGCAGTTTTTGTATCAGACAAGTATCAACAGAACGGATAACAGCAAGAGAGACATCAGGTTTGGGACACATTAGTAGAAGAAAGATGCAAGCCAGGACTATTCAGAAACATGGATGAATAAATTGACTGCAAAAGCACTTTTGCCTTCTTTAAGGCAGGATAATTAAGTATCAGTGACTATATGACAAAATAATGGTTCGCTGTGAAAGCTCATTCCCTTCTACAGGTGCTCTTAAGATCTTTATGAATAATTCACTATTTCCAATAATGTTATGGCCAGGTAAGATCTACTTCCTAATAGGTTGTTCATGTGTCAGTCCTATAAAAAACCCTATCTTATAAGTTCTAATAATTTGTATCTCAGAAGATATATCCTTTGCACTCATACGTTTATTAATTTATTACATACAATTTCTATTTTATTATTCTTTGTTTGTGGTATCAAGATTTGCATTCAAATACTTCTAAATTTTTCACTGTGATGTCTGGTATCTTTAGAGTGCGTTCCTTGACCTTTCCTGATTCTCCATTTATGTTTTCGGATTGAATACTAAGGCATCGAGTTTCTGTTTCACAACAAGACGACTTAATTTTGGACATGCACCAAAACACAATTATGAAAATGCAGTTCTTGATACTTCTTGGGTAACAAAGGCAGGCAGGAGAGACAGATAAGAAAAAAACATTTCTTCCATTAAAAAAATTACTGCCATTAAGCCTTTGTACACAGTTTTGACTCTATATAGAGTCCTTCCACTGTGCCTCCATTTTTTGTTCACTCACTGAGACAAAGGCCATAATACAATTGTCAGCCTTACACGTTACTACCTTACACCTATGTAATAGCTGGAGCACAGGAAAAAGAATAACATCCTCTGTCCAAAGAAAGCTACTGCCAAACTTCTAGCCAACCACCGTGCTGGACCAAACACAGTGTTGAAGAAAACTACAGGTCTGTAAAAAACGGATCATTTGGAAAACACCAAAACCACAGCACTTCAGATTCTAAACTGTATAGATTTTTTTTAGTGTTTTTGTATATTAATGAAAAACAGGCATACTGTAAAGTGCATTATAGGACACCATATACTTCAGACATACTTTTTTGATGGGAGCTTAAGTGTATCATTATGATGGTTGTGCACACAATACCTAAGCACTGAATTCAAGAATTAGGTAGAAAGATGTAAGTGGCAAGTCAAAGTAAAATTATGTTCTTCCTTTCCCTCCCTCCCTCATCACAAAAAACCACTTTAGATTAGTTGTACTCTCTGGTAGACAGATGCTATATTACTGCTTACCAGAAAAGAGAAATCTCTTGCTTTTTCAGTAATTTTCAGTTCCATGGTAGTAAACATTGGCACAGCACTAACTTCCAACAGTTCCAGAATGAATTGCAAAATAGCATGGTATTTTACATAACTTACAATATTAATTCTTAATCTCTTCCCCTCTCCCCCCATCCCCCAAGTATTTTTACTTTGAAAAATTTAATGATTTAGCGGAATTTGAAAGCAGAAGGTTTAAAAAAGTGATAAAGGGGGTGCAGAAATTAGCAGAGGTGGCACTACCTGAAAGCTCATCAGAAAGGGGAGTGAGAACAATATCAGGCAAGAAGGGTTTGGAAGTATGGATCAGAACAGGAGCACTTTTAGCACTGCGTATATAGGCCGATGGCAGAGCACATTCACCAATGGATCGGCTTCTCATGGCTTTAAAAAGGAAAAGAAAGAAGTGGGGAAGGAAAAAAGAAGAGTGACTATAATGAAAGGCTTGTGTCACAGAAAAAGCAGCAACAGAGAAAACAAAGATAAAAAAGAAGAAAATTCAAAAATTAAAACATTTCAGCACGGCAGATATTGGCAGAGCTGTAAGAAAGAAAAAAATCAGTGGACACATAAGACATTTTGATTTTTTAACTTTTATGTAAAGCAGCAACAATGCCTTTATTATGAGGATTACGGAGATTTTGCATTCAAAAATCAAGAAACTGATTAACACTTTTTTTCCCACTGCATCAGGGGTTGAAAAATCAAAGTTCAAGTCATTCCACAAGCACTCAGAACTTGAAATTTTTTAACAGGAAAAGCAACTTACACTACATTTGCATTTTTCTAGTTTCCTTTGGTTTACTCCTGAAAAAATATCTCTGAACTTTACACACACCCATACTCTTGAATTCAAGATTCTCCTAAAGACATTCAAAAGCATAAGGAGAAAATGACCAGTTCTGTGCAGAGAAATTTGCAACACAACTTGTTACAGTTCCACATTAAAAACCAAGTGACTGAAGTGAAATGGTTTGACAACAAAAAGCACTACATGGTTTCCTATCCATAGGGTCTGGGTTTTAATCGATACCGGGTAAATCTTCCTAAACTGATCCTAATTCACCTTTTCGTATCTCCTCTCTTGCCAACAGTCCTACCGAGTGGAAAACTTACATAAGAATTGCAGCATCACGATCAAGGTTTTATCTGCAGCTTTTCCAATAGATTTAAAATGAATCTTCATAACATCTATTATCCTTTGTCAGAGTAAGACATAGCAAGAACCGATAATGCATTCAATCTCAAAGTACACTTGAAGTTCTTCAAAAAGTAGTATTAATTGTTTCAAGCAACTTGATTTTCAAACTGTTGCAAATTTGATCACTTTTTTTAAAAAAGTTGCTGATAAACTTCTTTTAAGGAAACTTCAGTGCATCTTACATAAATACTGTCAGTACAATATTTAGTTAGTCTTTGCACTTCTCTATATATAGTTTCAAAACAACATGTAACACAGACTTGGAATCCTAGTGCACCCGATCTACACGGAAATCAGAAGTAGAGGAATGCAGTGCAGTGAAAGTCAAGCACATCACACTTCTAAATCAGGTTAAAGAATTGTCCCTAACAGCAACATGCAGATATCTTGGGCAGGTCAATGTACATAGAGCAGAAAACACATCTGACAAATGTAGCACAACTTAAGTGGAGTCTTAACATCAGTTTGAAAAAACAATTCAGAAAGACAGACGTTTTAAGACTGAAGCCATTCTCTATTAAACTTTGCTTATAAGACAGAAACCAATTTTTTTAAAAAAGTCATTTACGTGTAAGGCTTTAACATCTCTGTTTAAGAGACACAATAATAAAATTCAGGATACAGTGATGATCAGATGCATTACATTTATCATTGTGCATCTCAAAATGAATGTATGCAAGAGAATAATAACAAGCTACACAGTAAATCTTAAGGATCTTTTCCAACCTACATGATTCTACAATTCTAAATAAACCAAGCTTTTGAGATTGGATACTGTGTTGACTATAAATCCTAATATGAAGTGTCCCTTGTGATTTGACTGGAACTTTTCCACCATATTACACTGAAACTAGCAAGGGAGGACAGAACAAGCCATTTACAATTTGGAAGGTGGAAATCTACAGAAACTTTTGAAGGAAAAATTGCTGTGTACTTTTATTGAAAGTGAAATTAACTCTGAGATGCTATAAAAGTAAAATGTCATCTCAGTGAATTATTATTTTAAATAAGATGTGTCACGTTCAGTTAAGTAGTGGCTGACTTAATACCAGAATGTGGACTACACATTTGACAGTTTATAATCTTCCACCACTGTCTATAGACAAAATAGTAAATTCTTTCTGATCTGGTATTTTTATGGGACTAGAACCTGCTGCCTAAGCCACAAATTCTGTATCTAACCCTACAAAAGATTTTTCAACCCATATGCATACCATGTTTTAAGGCCCTTTTCCAAAAATCACTTTACGTAAGTTCAGGCTAAAAATGTACACACTGCATATCAGAAAAGCTGTGACTTTTATTGGAGTAACACACACACAAATTTGGTGCAGCAATAAATGTGTGCTAGCATGAGGATGGCTCAAAAAATAGAAGTGCACAGATGCACACAAAATGTGTACAACGTAAAATAGACAAAAAGAAACCCCAGCTTTCTCTCACCATGAAATATTCAACACGCATATCCGTCTTACTCAGATACAAAGAGTATATTACTCACAATCAAAGGAAATATACTACTTGTCAGGTATCATGCAACATATCTGAGGTCTGACTCAATTCCAGACTTAGCTTGTGAAGCTAATGTTAAACTGAAGGAGAAGATCTGACCAGCAAAATGTTCTATAGAAAATTTTACTCATTGTGACTGCAAACCAGTTTTTTTAATATGTGACCCTGTGTTAACGGCACATAATAAAAAGCATCCGAAGCATCCGAACAGCTCTCTTAGCAGACCTGAGACATAATAACAAGCAACTGTTTGCAGACAGTTAAGACACATGCTTTTGTAACATATTCTTCACCAACATTTAAAAAAAAAAAAAAATTAAGAGTTTGGGATTCTGGCTCTGGTAACTCTTTTTGGGCTTTACATCTTTTAAAATCACCCTACTAATGCTGTGATGCTTGTCCACAGATGGTATTCTACAACATGAATAGAGCTGAAATTTTAACTGGTTACAATAATACAAACTTGGCTTATTAATATCAAATCTGTAAGATAATTGGAGGCAAGGAACAAAACCATGGAGCTGAAGTACAGTGAAACTAAAATCAGATTACTTTGCTACTAACCAGGTCAATAGATAGCTTGATTAGGATAAATTTCATTCATTTTAAGGATAACATCATATAAATAGCCATCTTTCAAACAGCAGCAAAACAAAACCATTAATAAATTGACCAAACAACATAACCTTCTGACAGAATATGTGAAATATTAACAATTTGGGAAGAAGAAATTTTAACATGAGCTTTACCTTGTTAAGACAATTAAGATTTAAAATAAAAACACCACAACAGTTAATCGCAGACTATCTACAGCAAAGCAGAAATTACATTTAAAGCATCTGTGATCCATAAGGAAAACTTTAGTCAAACAAGGTGCTGTCAGCATGAGATACAGGAAAAGCTGTGTAGCATTTGAATGCATGACAAAGACAAGAAATTGTGGAGTAGTGATTTCATTTTCTCATGTGTCTGTACCGCTTACAGAACAATTAACTCTCACACATCAAGAAAAGAGAATTTTGAAGAACATTCAAATCAAAACTTTGGCTAAATAACCTCTGAGAATTAAAAAAATTAACTGCAAATATTTTTTGAAAGAGAAAGAAAATGTTAATTTCTGAAAAGCTAACACAATTGTATATTGAACTGCCAATATGCATCCCCAGTTTCTAAAACTGTGTCTGAATGTACCTGCTTCCAAGACATCTCAGTGAAGCAACAACAATGACCAAAGCCACTACTACTACAGAGAGTAAAAAAGCAAGAGATATTCCTTAAATGTTCTTCTTTTAAATAAAAAAGTAAAATCAGCTCAATTTTCCTTCATATAAGGGATAGCACTGAGATCATCAAGGTAAGACAACAGAGTAAAGAAATTTGTAGTCCAGTTCACGTTAAGATATTCTAAGCAAATCACGCAAACATAAATTGATTTTCTTTTCAGCAGTCCACCTAAAGCACTGTTTAGCATCACTCACTTGTAACACAGGACAGAGTACCTGCAAGCAATGAAGTTGAGAAGTAGATGACTTCAGAAATGTAGCATTGCACACATACATCCCAATCTTTCATTGATGCAAGATTCAGGGTATAGTAAAAGCCAACACATTTTATAAACTATGCATATATATAGATATTCCACACACTTTTCTTTGCACTATTGGAAAATAACCAACCTACTTTGTGAAGTTTCTGAAACTGCACACATAAAAAGCCTTCTATTACCCATCTATCCATACCATTGCTCAAATCATTCCAGCTTTTTCCTCTTTCTTATACATACAACAGTATTATTTTTCTAATCCAGCTTAAGCATGTGATCAAACTCATCAAGAATTAATACATCAACTGCATTACTTTCATTTGCAGTAACTGTAATTCTAGTAACCACAAGCTATTCCGCTACCCTTCAGCACATAAGGCTGCATAATTTACACATTTAACTAATTATTACAGATAGTATACTCTAGTGGAAAGAAGTTATCCATGTCGCTACAGAAGTCAGTTATTAATTCCTTATCCTTTCTCATATGTCACTTATATCAGCTTTTACAGATACGTACCAACTGTTTTCTGCCGTACAATACTTCTTGCCTTTTCTGTTCCTGGCGAGCCAGTGGTTGTAGCACTGCGTTGTCTCATTGGTGCTTGTCCAGGCTGATCACGGCTCCAGCCTCTAGAAAAGGACTTATCAACAGAAGATTTGGGGAACTCATGCCCAACTCCTGCAAAAATAGAATTGTAAATCTATTCACTTCTATTCTGTATCACCAGATATCTGTATTTGTGTTCTTTCAAAGAATTTTAAGTTGGATAGAATAAATTATGTTATGAAAGCAAGCGTAATTTTAAAAGCTAAACAGCACATTACTGGTTTTTAAACATATAAACCCACTCAGCCAGCATTAACACTGAGGGATACTCAAACTTCTTCAGTGTTGGTGCTATTAAACTATTGTGATCCTCTTTTCTGACCAATCAAGTGCAAACCACAAGAAAAACGGTTTTACAAAGGTTGTGGCCTGATAAAAATGTGTAACTATAGAAACTTTTCCTTTGCTGTTCCTATTAGACAAGACACACAAAATCATACCTTACAGACCATTAATATTGTGGGATTTTTTCCAAATAATTTCATGAAGTTTGAGGAACATGAAATAAAGATGAATAATTTAACACCAAATGCAAAAGCAAAAATCGGGATGATGCGTTCAGAGAACAAGGTTCTTTGGAAATTCACAAAAATACACTATACTAAGATTAAGAAAATATGGAACAAATTCAGATTTGATATTTATATTGAAGTAAACGAAGCTCGTATGAGGAGCTGTCAAAACAACTGTATGTAAAAAAAAAAAAGTAACCTAAGGAATATTTGCCATGTATTTCCTTATCCCCATTGAACTCATATAATCCAAAATTATACTTCATAAAGAATTACAATCATTAAAAGGGCATCTTCTTGGAAAGTGCGCCCTAGTACAACACGTTCATTATTATTAGCACATGAACAAGGGCAAAGAAATTTGGTATAATTTGTACAATATTTATTACTTCCCTAGCTGGAACTAACTCTGCAACTCCCATTTAACAGCAGAGGCTTCCTCTGGATTTCTGTTACTGAAGGCTAACATAAAGTCTTCTCATGCGGCTCTGCACAGGTGATACAGATGATGCAAATTGTTTTTTAAGCCTGTATTCAAATAACTACACACGTTCTTATCTCACATCAAATTACTTTTTTTAAACTGTGTCTTTTGCAAAAAAAAAAAGGCGGCGGCTGTATAGTGTAGGAAAACAAAAACACATAGTCTAGAACAACCTCTCAGGGTCAACTACAGAGAAATGTATTTTTGTCCAGTTGTCACACACCAGAAAAATAAAACAGAAGTGTGAATAACTCCCTTGCCCAAGATGAGAAATTTGGAAGCATGTGAAATGCTTCTAGCAAAAAAAAGCCCACAGGAACACTCTCTTCAGGAGAAGGAAATGAACATCCATATAGATTACTTTTCACTGACAAACCCTAGGATACTGTAGGCAGTGCACTCCCTCAGGTTTGGCTGGAGAACCACATCAATCAGAACACAGAGATTAAAAAGTAGGCTAAAAATTACACTTTTATTCCAGCTTTATTACTCAGCCTAAATGTAATCCTGCCTCTCACTATTAGATCTTAAAGCACTTTTAAAGGAGAACAGTAACGTTACCCATGTTTTACAGAAGCGGAAATGGCCACATGCAGAAAGTCTCTGCTCGGGGAAGCGAATCCAGGTTTTGCAACTCTCAAGCCAGCAGTCTATCCAGAAGGACAGACTTCCTATCCCTTACCAGTTTCAGAACTGTGCCATTATAAGCAAGCAGCCACCTCCTCTCCCCATATTATGTCCTACAGAGCATTTCCTGCATTGTTTAGGAATCGGTTTAAAAACTAGTACTGTTCATATGGATTATGAAAAGTATCCTTTCTCTTAAACAGTCCAACAAGGTCACTTTGACAAAACCTGTCTTCACCATGGCTTAGTGATGAATTAGAACCCAAACAAAACCATGTTCATCTTACATTTCTTATTTAAAACAACATTCATTGGATTTCAGGATCAATATTCCAATTGTGCTTGCATTAGCCACTTACTAGCTAGCTAATTTTTATCAGATGTGTAATCTTTGTTACTTTCAAGAAGTTATGATTGGGCGTCAACTATTTAATTGCATTAATAAAAGGAGAAAGGCATAACTCACTACAGTGTAACGTTTTAGGTTAAATTCAACACACCTTTACGAACTACATTCCGTATGTGCCTAACTATTCGCACAACTGAATCTTTAAGTGGAGATTTTGTGGTGGTTCTAAAAAGCAGCCTTATCTTAAAGAAACTGGGTTATTTCAGGTGATAGAGTTGACTGATTAGGTGTACTAAAAAGGCTAGACCAAAATTCTGCTGTGCCCCATGTCTCATTACCCTAGCTCAAATTCAAACCATGTGTATACAGTGTTGTCTTACCTTTGCCTTTGTGTTTCTTCTGTTTCTGCTCACTTAATTTATCCAACGGCAGGTCACTGAGGTCCAGGCTATATAAGTTTCTAGCTAATACTTTAGTTAGTGTCTCCATTGTCAGTGACCACTCAGTGGCCAGCTCTTCCCAATATGTCAGCGATGACATTACAGACAGCAAGTCATCCCAAAGTTCTCGAGAGATGTACACGTTTAGATTCGCTTTGATCCAAGCTACTATAAGAGTCTACAAGAATAAAGTGGGAAAAGTTGGGTTCCGAACATGACAGCATTCAAATGTTACGGCTTAAAAAGAAGTTTCTAGCTGCCACAGAAATCTGTGTAGTCCTGACATTCTTTGCCTCACCAGTACACACAGATTTTTCATGAATTCAAATGTGTTACACTAACATGGGTTTCTGACTTAGATACAGGAACATTTGGTTTGACACTTTAAAGATCTCTTGGTATCTTGTAAGTTTTGCCAAGGAGTTTTGGAATACTTTCTCAATTAGTTCTCATCACATTCCTATCTTGTGTATCCTTTTTTTCCCCTACTAAAGAGTTTAGAGACTTTACAGATCCTATTTACACAGAAGCCACCACAATAGCAGTCTGCAGCAATAAACTTTGAAACGATCTGCTACAGCTTACTCTGAGGAACAAAAAAATCAGTTAGTTAGACATGGATAGCACAGAAGATTTTGTGCTGACTTGAGCTAATTCTGCAATGGAAACGGGCTAAAACTGCACACATTGACAGTTATCTCAAATCAGCTGAAGGACGAGAATGTTTTAATTTCACAGTACCCCAAAACTCATTGTCACGGTGTCACTAAATATAGGACAGAAAGGAACAAATATAGCCAGCTCTTTAACCCACACCATTCACATTATCTAGGTAACATGATCAATTATTTAAGATAACAAACTAGCTGACAGTGGTTGTTGCATCTAATCTCTTGGTCAAAGTTAAGCTGAGTTAATGAAAGTGAATTTATTTTTAATTGCCTGGAAAAGAGGTCCTGCAAGTCTTCCAGCTAAAGTGGAGTTTTTTCTGCCTTGATACTGCAAGAAAGTTTGGGGTGGTATTTTCAGCACAGATTCAGTAACCCTGAGCAGCACAAGTAGCATCTGTTCCCTGCAAAACAATATTAAACTTGGAGTTACCACTTTGTTATACTTCTGTATATACCAGTGTACTTTTAAAGATGATAACCAAGCCTGACTTGCTCAAACACATTCCAAACAGGACATAGTGATTACAAACAGCCTAACTTGGTTCTTGCAAAAGCAATTACTCCAATCTTCTTTTCACACTTAAGAGTGAGGAACCCATCACCTTCTAACATCTTCTGCCAGGTCATGCAAGTGTATAACCTTCAATGGCCTGAAATTACAGGCAAAGTTTTGATTGTGTTTCCAAACTAGAGTTTTTATTTCTTTTTTAGTTTGGGTTTTTTTTGGTATCAGTGACAGGTTTTGGCAATGATGACACATTATCATCAACATACTTCATCCATTATTTTGTGTGGCACAATCTTTGCCATCACAGCCTAGAGTCACTTTCTTACAGTGATGTGAAACTGGGGAAGAAAATAATAAATGGAATCTGTTTTCAGTTATTACTCCCAAACTTCCCAGTGGCTAGCCTTGAACTGACTTATTTCCTCACAAGAGGAGACAAATTTCACATGACATGTAATGCCAGCTCTACTTACCCAGAATTCAGGAAATACTAGTGACAGACTGAATGCAAGTCATGTTAAAATGGAGTAAATCAGCCATTTGAAATCACCTTGCTACTGTTTCCTTGCAATGGAGAACAGTGGCAATATATTACCTCACTAGAGACGGTTACTTATAGGAGACAGGGAAGTAATAGAAATTAATGTGAAAGTGGGTCCCTTGTACCTGCTAGGCACCTTAAGCACTGGAAAGGAACAAAACAGTTATAGAATACACGGACCCTGCAGATCAAGAGCAACCCACACCTGACTGTAATAGTTATCCATGCTTATTTGAGGATTTTTTGTTTATATTCAAATAAGGCTGTGAAGCTTCATGTATGTTTTCGTATTTAGCACTTTAGCAAAACGCCCTGGAAAGAGTCATCAGTAGCTCCTTAGCAGTAGTCTATATATCCTGGCTCACTTTCTTTTTCACTGAGGGTTACGCTGCCTCAAACTAACTAGGTTCTTACCACTGGCTTCAACAAAGCAGATAACCTCTTCCCCTGTGGCAAGTTGTCTGTGATGTTTAAGTCCATGTATTTACTCATCTAGAAAAACTGGTTCACATAGTCAAAACCTCTCTATTGTGTTTACTGCCAAGTAAATTTTCACATTTATCTTGTGAACTAATAATCTAAGATAAAAACATTAGCATTTTACCATGTCTTCTTGTCCATTGTCACTTGGACTACCATGTGACGGTAGATATTAAGAATGCGTTTACACATATCAGTGTGTTCATCCAGCAGAGCTTTAATTTCATTTGCAGGTTCAAGAAAGAATATATTTGAAGAATTTATTATAAAAACCTATAAGCAGAAAGAAGTGGATGTTATGAGCTTGAAGCACTTTGATGTTTTCAGCAATTCAGTTGATAGTAACCAGGAAGACAAAATCTGTGATTAACAGAAAAAACTGCATATGCACTCAGAAGTACATAGTTAAACCTAAGTTAGCTTGCTGTGATCATAAAGCAACAACAAGACTGATTTTTTTTCTACAAAACATACTTGTATATTTTTGCTCTCATAGACAGATGGTACAACAACCTACTCAATACAATTATTTGAATACAATGGACAAAAATGTCCCAGTAAAGGAGTCCACTATCCAAAAGCTCACCTGTAAACCAGCAACTGACTAGTATAATATATGCTAAACTGCTTGAAATAGTCCTGGTACACAGTGTGTGTCTCGCATGACAAGGCCTGTATTATGTTCTGGGAAACCAAAAAATTTATCCCACTGTGATTGATAAAGCTTACCAAAAGTAGGAAATCCGATACCTTCTCCAAAGTGGCTGACTTCAGTGGACACTGAATTAGGGCTTTCAGAATGAAAATGACGAAAACAAAGTAGGCAAGGAGTTACAGGAGCTACTACTGAAGTGTTGTTATATTCTTATGTAAGTTTCGGAAGTATCTGAATCACAGTGAGCCCTAGATTTCAAATAAATTTTTATTTGTCTTTCTTAATCCATGTGCACAGGCAGACATTGGTTCTACAGTTGTAATTTCTTTCCACTGAGAGTTCTCGATTTTAATAATTAAAAACTACTCTTATGCAGCTTTAAATTCGCCAAGCCTCAACTAATTAACCTACCATATTCTAAGTGCTTAGAAATAAATCTATGCAAGAATTAAATGGAAAGAAAACTCAAGACAGAAGTCTTGGATTCTCAATTCACAGAAAACATCAAATGTGGTTCCAGGTTGGGAAACATCTCAAATTCAGACATGGTACTGGGTTCGACTGATGTCTTGAGTCCGTTTTGGGCTAAAAAAAGATATTCACTGGTCAAATGAACCTTTTTGTAAAAACTTCAACATGAAGAATCTCCTTGGCACTCTCAGATGTGTAAACCTTAGTAATACACTGTAAACAGATGAAGATACTTCACTGTTCCTTTTCTCAGAAACATCTCATAATCTAAACAGTCATTGTATGCAAAGATGAGGAAGCTTAAATTATTGTAACTATTTGAATTTAAAAGTGATTTCATTTACAAAGTTTATTTCAATATATAACAGTGTACAGGACAGTAAGAAACCCTATTCAGAAAATCATTCAAGCTGTATTTTAAAAATTCACAGATGCTTTGAAGGAGCATGGGTTTCCCTTGCAGGACTACTGCATTATATTTCACTCTATGTACTGATACCAAGACCTTTATTATTAGGATGAAAATTAGATATCAAGTCTATTTCATACCTGCAATACTGACTGCACTCCAGCTCGGACATTTTGCTCTTCAGTATCAATTTCGGACATTTTATGCAATGTATCTTCGTAACAGCCATTTCTTGCCCAGTTTGAATTTCTAACATGACTGGAGTTCATCCCTTTTTCCTGAAAAATGTTTTTTTCTTAAAATCCCATAGATTTGTAGAGATGTATTTTGGTTTTATATTAAAGCAAAAAGGTTGTAATAGATATTAAATAATAAACAATGGTAGACAGATGTTTAAGATGCATCTTAAAGACACACCTACACTTTAAGAAGTTAGTAACAATTATTTTGACGTATATGGATAAAATAACTACTATGTTCCTCATTCTTTTATTTGTATACAATTTCTACAGAGCTGAAAGTTGGCATACTGTATAATCCACATCTTGAGAACAGTTCATAAAACTGTATGAAACTTTAAATTGTACTAACCACATTTAAAATCTACATATAATGAATCAAATTGGTAGCCCATTCATGCACTGTTTAATTACCATTGATTCTCCCCAACAGATGCTCCGAGATCAAATTAAACCACATAGAATCTGTTGAGAGAGCCAATTCTCTGTCTGTTAGTGTATCCAAGAGATGCACACATATTAACCAACAATATTTTACCTCTTCTCTTTCTTTTGTTTTCTCTGATGAACTGGGGTCAACAACACTTTCATCACAGTCTACAGTTGTGCACTGCATTATTTCTTCAGGCTCTTTCATAAATAAAGGCTTGTCTTCTTGCTGAATCCATTCCTGATACACCTTTACCACTTTCCTCATGGCAGCTGCTTCACATATCGGCAACAGAAATGCCTGTGAGTAGAAAAAGAAACAAACAAAAACCCAATTACAATACTTGAAATCAAACTGGGCTCTATAATGTACACACCCTAAGGAAGGGAGGGAGGGGGAATACAACCACTGTAGGATCTTAACAAATAAATTACTTCTGAACCTAAATGTTTGCTCACTTTATTCACCTGTAAACTAAAAACATGAAACAAATGTTTTAAAAAGAAAAGTCAATAAAGTACTTAGAAAAATTCACTGCCAGAGACAGAGATATGAGAATCCATACAGGTACATCTATTTCACACCTAGCCTGCAGAAATTAATGCCCAGACATTCATCAAAACTATGCAAAATTAATAAGCAGAACATCTTCCATTCAGAGGACTTGGAAGAGTGGACTTAACTCACTTCTAAATTACTAACAAAAAATTCAAGTGACATACATGACTGGTAGCCATGTATCTTATCTTTAGGTAAATGAGATTTTACAAAACAGTATCCTTAAATCAAATGACTCCCCAAAAAGACTTCAGAATTGGTGTTTCAAAAACTCGTGTGCTTGAGTCAGTGTGATGGCTGATTGGTGCCCTCTTCAGGAGGTTTTCTGTATCTGCTGTGATCAGAAACTTTTTACATTAGTCAGGTTTTAACTAACTATAAATGCATCTACTAAAGACCGTGATGCCCTAACTGCATTAAAAAAAGAACAGATAAGCTACATTAACACATAGCTGTATGGAGTCCATGGTGTGAATGCTGAAAACTCATTGCTTGTGTCCTTAAGGAGTGCCCACTTGACACAAGCGGTATGTTGTCTCTCTGGAAACAGACATTTCATACCAGTGCCCCACTAAAACACGATTTTGTTGTGTATTGCAGAATTCAGCTGTCAAGTTCATCTGTTACACACTATCATGCATCAGGTCTAACAGTCTTCTCTAAGCCCATATACATTTTTTGTACCCTGGAGTCTAAAACGCACAAACAGACAATCTTCCCACCATTCAGTACAACTGAAACCTCCTCCTGACTCGAGTAACTTAGCCCCAATGTTTTAGAAACATTACAAAGAACTGGCAGAACTAAACTTACACTGAAAACTTCTTGCTAAACAGTGACTTGAACGAGATCGCACAACCACACATGAAATCCCAATAACCCACATAACTCACAGAGTGTCTTGTGAAAAGAACAAAGAAAAGTGCCTTTGCTGTCCTTTTCACCGGAGAGGGCAGTTTCTAAACAGACAATCAAAAAATCAGACTCTGCATTTCAAGTTACAGACTCTGTAAACCCTTGAGCAGCAGTTGAACTTGGGTAACTCTTGTTATCTCCTTCAGTAATACGTCCAAGCTCTTCAGCACCTTGGATGTGGATAAGCTTCTGACATTTACCTGCCTCATTTGAAAATATTAATTTCATCCAGATACACTGGAGTCTTAAAACGTTCCATTTTCTGCTGCTTAAAGCCATTAGCGTCACGCATTTCAACTGAAACTCAGTATATTTTTCTTTACTGTTCTTCAGAAAAATCTCATCTTTTCATCTGTAACATGGGGCAATGAAAAAGTCTATCCTGTTCTATTCTCCCACACTGAACTCAAAGTTACGCATTTTCATGTTATAAATAAAGACTCCATATTCTAGCATATGTTCTCAGTTTAAATTTGCTTAATAGTTTCCAGTTGAGAAACACTATTTCGAGTATGCTCAGCTAACATTTCTAGTTGCAGTAAAGTCAGACGCAGAAGCTGTTACTTTCTCTAGCCATCCGTCCCACTCCTCTGATGAACGCTATCAAGGTAAGGACATCCAATTGCTCCTAAAACAGCTCTTTAACAGCTGCAGACTCCCACAGGAGGCTTATTTTAATATGCTTGGATGTGAGCTCTAATACCTACAGGGTCGATCCATGAAAAGATCAAACACTCCCATCTATAGGGAACTGTAAAGCCCAAGTTAAATGCTGTTGAATTGGTTATTAAATAAATAAAACTAGAAAAATCAGGAACTTTACAATTCTTCAACCTCAAAGGCAAGACCAACAGAAAAAACTGTACATGTATAAAATGTTCTGCTTAGCAAATACGCTTGAAAGAAATCCATGACATAATGATCATTTACAATATAATAATCAAGATTCTTGCATTCTAAAGAGGGTTCTTTACCTGTCGAAAAATCTCAGTTAGAAAATTAACATTGCTCCTTTTAGAAGAAAAGACTTTCCTGACAATTTCAATATCAGTTAAATGCTCTTCATCAATACTGCAGAGGCTGGAAGAACTTGGTTCTCTCTCTGTTAGAGTACTTGTATTAGAATGAGACTGTTCTGGCTCTGCATTTTTATCCTGCTTATCAGTACTATCATTTTTGCCGTCCTCCCTTGATGCCATGCTAGCAGCTGCTCTCTGAAACAAAAATTAAAGAATATCTCATAGCTCATTTTTAGTACAACAATTAAACAGTACAATTTAAGTTATACAACAGTGTAATTTAAAACAGTACATCGAATTCAGGAAAAAAAAAAAGACATGAGTCACTGCATTTCAAGGCTTCTTATGTCTGTTTGATTAAAAATAAACCAGCAGAATTTGGAAAAAAAAAAGAAGCATAGTGAGTCCTTCTAAAGTGAACTCATAAGTGGAAAATTTGTTCAGAAATTCCTTCTTTAAATTTTTCCATTAGTTACAATTATTGGAGAAGCACATGCTGCTGATGTAACAATTAAGACAAAAACAACAAACACTTCTTTGTATATTTGGTTTTACCTGAATATTCTTTGGCACATTTTCACCTTCCATCCCAGGAATATGAGGTCCTGTATGAGGTTTTGGCTCAAGCCAGAAAGACACCAACCATCGAACGACAATAACACGAGCCTTAATAAAAGGTTCCTTTGTGCAATATATTGCCTCATTGGTTTCAGCATCTTTCTTAACCATTACATAGTGTGGCTTTGGTCTCATTTGCGGTATATCTGAAAGGAAACACAGCACTTTAAAAATACGTGCAGAGAGAAAGCTCTATAGAAGAAAGAAATCCTAAAACCATAACCAATACATTTGAAACTTTCAGAGGTGCTGTTTTTTCATATTCACTGTTGCAAAACTAATCCCAAAATGTGCCAAAATGGACATGATAGAGAAAATTTCAAGACTAGACTATAGGACATCAAAAGGCTGTGATCTTCTCCTCAAGGGAGACAATATTGTTGGCCCAACAGAGCACTACTTGTCTCTGCTACACAAAACCATTCATTTTTTCTCTGAAAATGTTTTCTATAGCCTTACATCCCCACTTGCATTTTTTTAATAAACAGGTAAACCTATTTCTTTTCATTGTTTTCAGCTTTTTTTAAGCTACATGCTATACTCAGTATTTAAACTCCAGCAAACTCACAACTTCACACTTTCACTGAAAACTACAAAGAAGCTCTAAGTAACAAAATAACTCTTAACTAGACTGGAATACAGCCTTTACAAGAAAACTATTTTCACATAGAATTAAGATACTGTCAAATTTATTAAGGAGTGTTTGTAGTTGTCTAAGTCACTAAGCAACAATTTATGTAATGCATACCATTTCACAGCCTTTTAAGAGTCCTACGTCACTTATCCCCTACTACCAAACCTACTTGGAAAAGCTGATACAGTTCAGATGCAAGAGATCCCCACGTTTCCTAATTCACCCCTAGAAAGATCTCTATGTCGGTCTGCAGCAATCCACAATAAAGTAATACAATTATTCATAAGGGTCATCACTTCTTTGCCAAAATCTCATCATGGCTACAATGGAAGAGCTTTAATTCCAAACTGTATTCTAACCACAGCTGCAATAAACAGAGCCTCTTCTGGCCCTGCAATAGGGCAAAGATGAATAGAACAGAGAGAAATCCTGCTCCAACGCCACGTGAGTTTTGCAGCATCATCTAATGCCACATCTGCACTAGCTAGCTTTGCTGGGCTTTGCTGCCAGAGCAAGGGCAGTCTTCCTATAATTTAGGTGAAATAATTTAGGTGAAAGCTGATTCTGTGGCAATAGCTTCCATACTAGCTTGCAAGGAATGTAATGCATGATGCCCAGCAGCATGCTAGCTGGCAGGAGCTGCAGTCATTTGGTGTCTATAATCTACAATTGCATTTTCTCCATCCCACGTTCTACACCATGGTTCAGAAGTATTTAGTTCTTCTGGTTGTCTACTGCTCTAGCGACAAAGACGCTGATAGTGTCACCAGTATTCCTGCATCTGCTTCAGAAAAAAGTGACAGTCCTTAATAACTCTATGTGGATGGAATTGACGTCTGTGGTAAAAAACAAATATTGCATCATGCACTTTTCTGCAGGGACAAATATCAACAGCCCAGTTCAACTCTAGCCGTGTATCAGCAAATGCAGTACTGCCAAATGTCATCTCTGGGTTTCACAACCCAAGACATGGTGTAGAACAGTTCTGCAGTACCAATCATCAGTCTGAAGCAGCTACAAAAACTTTCAGATATAAATAGCATTTCTCTGGAACCGGTGCCCCAACTCTCTTCCTATTTCTAGAAAGGCAAGTATGAGATCTGCTCTGACACAAAGTAGATGAAAATTTGTCTGAGGACTGATTCTGACACTGTGCTGTCAGAACACACCCTGCTGCTGGCGTTTCAGTATCATGATTTTCATCTGGTGAGAGTACACAGAAAAAGAAACCCCACAAAAACAAGTAACATCAAAAAACAAGGCGGCGGCGGCATGAAAAACGATGACCCTATCCAGATATGGAGAATGACAGACTGGACAGAGATGGTATTTCAGCACTGTCTCAACTCTTCTATAGCTTGTGGTACATGAGTAAGAGATACAGTCCATGGTCATACAGGCCAGAAGGCTGTGCAAAGATACTAGTGGTGGGGGTCAAAGAAGATGCAATGTAGTCATGCTGAAGAATATACAGTTTTCCCTGACTGTATCTTCCTAACGCAAGGTCAAGAGTTCTTTTAAGGGATCCAGCATATCTTGTGCCAGGTTACAGCATCATACACCAGTAGGAACAAACCTGGATAGCAGTGAAGAAATAATCAGCTATTATCTAGGCAATTAACTTATGACAGCCACATATACTCCCAAACATTTGAAGTGAATACAGCCTACCTGTCACACTGCTGTAAAGGTTTCCTTGTTAACACTACAAATACACAACAGAACATTCAGCACCAGCATTGAGGATCTCCAAGCTAGTAGTTCTCAGAGTCATTTCAACAGCCGTATATAAAGTAGTGACAGCTCATCATGATGCTGCTAAACTGAGGAATGTTTCCAGAACAGACTTTAAAGTTACAGCCATTAATTTTAATGGAAGCATTATTTTTTTAGAGGAAATAAATATATGACTCTCGCATACCATCCACCTAAGTAAGTAACAAAGGCACAGAATGCTTTTTAAAAAGCTTACAAAGAGCTTATTTATTACAGATAAAACACAGTACATTGTTTTCGTTCTGTTGAAAGCAGCAGGTTAGTAAGAAAATAAAAAAAATAATACATCTTGAACAGAAGCATATATAGCAGCACAATCAGTAAAAAAAAGGAAGCCAATGCCTGGTAGTGCAGTATTTAAAGATGCAAAAATCAGTTCTCTCTGGTACCTATTAGCATTCAGCGGGGCATGAAGGCTGCAACACTGTCCATGCAGTAACAGCACTCAGACAGTATTTTCGAAAGGACATCTCCACCAGACACGCAGTAAACATGTCTGCAGCACACTGTCCCCTTCTGTAGTTTCCCCATATTCTCTCAGAACATCCTCTCTCTCTCTATTCCCTCTCAACCGTATTATGTGCTGCAGCTGCTTCCCAAACGTATCCTGCTTCAGTCATTTCTTGTATTTTCACATTTCTGTCCATCTTGGAAGTAGGTGTCAAGGCTCCAGATGAGGACACTGACATAAAACCAAAGAAACAAAGAAGCTTATTAGATTGACTCAAACAGTACAAGAGGAAATATTCCCTTCCCTCAACTTTCCATTTTTCCTTTCTGTTTTGCTTTGGGCTTTCCCCACTCCCCACCCTTCCCCCTCTGGGAATTTGGTGTGAGCTGGTGCCAAAAAGTGCAGGAAGCTGTAGGTGGTAGAAGACATACACAGGGCAGAAAATGAAAAAGCTAGCAAAACCACAGTTATAATGGTAGACACTCGTAGTTTTGACCATGCTTATTGTTTAAGGCAATAAAGGGTTTGGAAGGAATAAAGAGCTGCCAAGAGCTGTAGGACAGCCCACTTTATTGTTCCCCTGTAAATGAAGGGGCCCATTTAAATCGCTTCGAAATGGCACAGAAAGGCACATTACTATCATGGAAGAAACAACGCCCCTGGAATCTTATTGCCATACCTGTAGTTCTTACTAAAGAGTTTCCAAAGACTATCTTACAGAATCTAAACAGATGTTAAAAGACATACAAAACAATCTCAGGGGCTCTCCTAAGCCTGTATTGCTCTTCCAAGTCTGTAATACTCAAACTATCATTTGAAGGAGGCACAACACTAGCGTTTTGTAACTGGAATGCTTGTTACTTGTTACTGTAACCAATATACTTATCTGAAAATCTGCCACAACAGAAAGGAAAAAAAAAAACCACACCTACACCACAACCAAGAAAACCTCATTTCAATATACTATCTCCACTAAAGCCCTGTATCAATGTTGCTTACTAATACTACTGTTATGACTTGTAGCTCGTGACTTCTCCTAAACATTACATCAGTAGCACAAGGATTTCTGCTTTTAGTAGCAGGCCCAGCATCCAAGTTTGCCCCTGTTTTCTGCTTAAATGTTGTCAATTTTGTTCAGAACAGACACAGCATTGTTTTCAAATATGGTGGGGAGATGCATGCCAGCGAAGAACTTCTTAGAGGACAAAATACTATTCTACTTACCAGTGTTTCTGTTGCTTTCATGACTGTATTCTTCCCAACAACCTTGTCATTGTTGCTGACTTCGCACAGTTTAAGGCACTCACAGTAGTTTTGGAGATCTGTGTACATTTCGTCTTCTTGTTGCCCACTGTTCTCTTCTTCACTCAGGCCTTAGAAGTTTCTTGTTTATGGTCCACAGAAAGAGAGAGGACTACAGTAAGACTTCTGTGGAAGACTCAGTCAAGATCTTCATAGAAAGAGAAAATATTGTCTCCAGATTTCTTGTTCAAGGACATCAAGCAGCAGTAGGTTTGCTTTCTCAGCATTGTTTCCATCCCTCTTATAGCTATTTTCTCACTGAACCTCTTCAGTATCTTCATAAAACTCTTGTTCTACTGTTGTTTATGGCTGGATTTATAGTCCTCCTTCTCCCCAAGATGAGAAGGTCCACAGTTTGTCTCTCCCAGGAAAACACGGTTTTGAAACATCCATCTCTGAAGAAAGCCACAATCCAAATACATGTACAAGGACTTGCAGAAAGTTAGACCTTTTCAACAAAGTTCCCTGGCAGCTTGATTTGAGAGTATTAAATTGTGGCTGGAGATCACTACTAATCCTTGTGATATGCTGCATCAACAGGTAAGAGGAGCAGTGAGGTATCATATTATTCAAGTAATGAAATGGCACCTTAAAAGCCTGTGTACATGGTACTGCTTTGCAAGCAGCAGTCCTGAACTCTGTTGGCTTATAACCAATGTATGCACAGGTACACGCAAAGCTGAGCTAGCAAAATGAAGATACGCAAACAACATTCTAGCTTAGAATGAGCTAAAAACCTCTGAACAAAGCTCTAGTTAGGTTTGCTTAGTAAACACCTAAAATTCCACTCCCTATATGGAAAGATATATTCTAGTCCCATGAGTTTTGAAGATTGTGTTAAACTTTAGCTTCCTCTTCCTACTATGAGCCCTTGACAACATACAGTTGACACAAACGTAACTAACTTTGCCCTGACTGAACTCCGAGCAAGCACCGTGTGATCCAAGCACTGTGATTCTGTACAAAGCCAACATCCCCCAAAGAACAGCACACTAACACCTTCTACCTCAGCAGCAGTGGCTTCTCTTGAGAGCAAAACTTTAATCAACAACAGAGGTTACATTAAAGAACTATTTTACAAGAACATTTAATTTACCTGAATCAGGTTAATATAGCAAGACTGACTCTAAGAAAAGGGTCAGGTGCCTCCACAAACACAGAATTGAAAACCAGGAACAGGAACCATAACATGTTCTTTCATAGGAAATACTTTTGAAGAATGTTCTTTATGGGCAATATGACTCCAGTAAAAAAACTGCTTTGCTATACTCTCTATTATTTATCAGCTGTATTAACACTTACCAAGTATAGGGTTATACAAGCTGGTCTCCTTACAGATGTTTGGGAAAATAGAAGGTAAGTAGTATTTCTTAAAATTTGAGAATAAAAATGAAAATCCCTTCTCCTGGTTTTCCTTGTTCTTCCATTCTAAACTCTTAACCTTAAAAAAAGAAGTTGGATAAAGTAAACATCTAGAAGTAGAAGAGAAAGATGACTGATGAAATGGCTTCTTTATAAGTTATTTCTCTGCAACAAAATCACATGGATTTTGATAAACACTTTCAGAAAGATGGAACAGAAACTAGCTGGGAAATCTCAGTGAACCAAAGACTGTTCTATTCCAAAATGTTGCTTCAAAATGAATTTGAACACATCAAATACTGAAATCAATAGAAATACATTTACTTTTATGGTCATCTTGCCAGGTCAGGGAGTAAACCCAAACTGATTGTTTTTAATAAAACTGGATTTTTATTTCAGAATGTTTTCTAAGAAAAGGACAATTGACCATGCTACTTTGAACATTTGACAATTTCTTCTAACGCTTTTCGACTAACAAGTGTCCATATATTCATTATAATAGGTACTTGGATTCATTTGTGCAGTTGGCAATATGAAACAAACAAATCTGTCAACCACAAGCAGCAGAAGACACAATTTCAGTTGAATTACACAAATCTACTGTCAAGGATCATGAGTGCCAGGCCTTCCCCATTATGAAATGTTTTCCTACTGAAAAGGATGATATGTTCTCCTTAATAATAAACCCAACACGCAGTTGCCATCTTTATCCTGGAGAATCCATCTGCCCGCAGAGTTAGGTAATCTGTCAAGTCTACCATAAATAAAGGAAGTTATCTGAATAGTGGCTTTGGTTTTGTTGGGGTTTTTTTCTACACCCCCCCCCACCCGCCCCGCCCCTTAATTCAAGTCCACAGTGCTATCATGATCTATTTTCAGGGCAATGGGCATTTAGAATGGAATATACATGCATATATATACACACACACTCCTCCCCAATATAATTCAATAGAATGAATGAGTAATATGTAGAAATTAGTGACACGAAGTCCTTTAGCAGAACAAAAGTAACTATTCAGTTTGAAATTATCAGCGCCTCTAAAGGGACTCCAGCAAAAGACTTCAGCATTCACATAGCGAACAAGTCCTATGACACCTGTCTCCATGACTTCTCTATGATTTAAATATAATACTACCATTTTATTACAGAGAGGGCAGTTGTTTTCAAGAGTGTAAGGGGTATTTTTATTCAAGCTGAACAGTCATCATTAAGCTTAGTCTACAAATCACACATGCAATAACCTCTATTCAAACTGGGAGATGCTGAAAGCAACAAAATGAGGTTGCAAGTTATTCCAGCACTACAAGTTCACAGAGAAAGATAGATAAAGAAAAGCCATGAAATGTTTCAGTTTAATGTTGGCCACATTTGTGCCACTATCCATTGTCTCTAGCACAACCTGCAAAAGCATGAAGAAAAACTTACGTATAGAAACCCAACTGGGTTCTGCTAGACAAGTCTGACCCAGTCGGCAGTACACTGGAACACCTACAGCATGTCATGCAGCCAAGCACTTTGCAGAGCAGGCCTGGAAGCAGCATGTGCTAACTGGCCAGCAAATCCATTACACAAAATATAATAGCTAAGCCACAGTTTTTGATAGGAGCTCTTGCCATGCCCTGTCCTAGGTACATGAAGTACTGGCTGAGATCATGGAGTGTCAAAGTAAGAAAGAAAGGACATAACATGCACCTACGTTGCACACTGTGGACTAGATACTTCTTCAGGTCTTAATTTCCTGTGCACTGTTCTAGTTCCATAATTTGCCTTTCAGGTAGCTTGGGATCTGCAAAATCTTGCTACCTGGTGTCACATAGCAATGCCACTGAGTGAGTGTAATTTTAGCAGTGCAGCTACTTTCACGCAGAACCTAACTCACAGGCTTTGCCAGATCTAAAGTATTCTGAATATGTACTGTTTTCCATTACTTCTCTTTTGAAAAGGTTCACTTGCTCAGCTGTAGCAGTAATCCCAAGTTTTCTCTATGCAATGTACCGTATAACACTTCAGCTTACAAGTCTCCTAAAACTAAAGTCCCAGAAAGTACAGTTACGATACCAACAGGAGTCATGACACCATCTCTGCAAAATCTGCATAGAAAATAACTTGTTGATCAGGAGGAAAAAAACCAAAGCAAAAACAAACAAACAAAAAACACACCAAACCCATGAACAAAAAATCCAATAAGCTCCTGCTAGAAAGCCATAATCTCTGTGTCACGCTCTATAATACACCCTGAAGCATTTCTACCAACCAGGGCTTTCCAGTAGCTCAGAGTGTTTCCATTAAAGAATGGAAAGGCTGTATGGTTTATCTACTGTAACAGCAGAAATTCCAGAAAGACAGTTGGAGGGAAAATATGACCCTAAGCATAGACACTGGCAATCCCAGTCTTACATCCTGTTTCTGTTTGGTTTTGCCAGCTAGCCCAAGTATAAACCTAGGAGAAAGGCCAGCAAAAGTTGGCTCAGGCTTGTTAAAAGCCTGTATCACAAAAATTCAATGCTTTCAGCTAGAAGTTTCCCCTTAGTTAGAGAAGTCCCTGACCACCAAGAAATCCACATAAGAAAGAGCCCAGTTGATCCTTTCACTGGTTAAAGGCAACAGGGTGGGGAGGGGGGAGGTGGAAATGGGAAGGGAGCTGGAATCAGCATTTCTGGAAGTGATCAATAAGTATTGTCTTTCCTCCATGCTGCAATCTGATGCAAGACCCTGTGGTAACAGACCTATGAATCTTCACAGAAGTGAAGATTTTCTAGGAAAATTTGCTTTTTACAAAGGACACTTGGAGCAGGGGGACAAGGGGGAGAAATGTTTAAAACATTTTCGTGTACATTTGCAGTACTACCAGTACATGTCGTCTTGTAATGGATGAACAGGTGTTCTTCCATGCTTGTTTGCTTGAAAGCTACAGAACATACCTGAATTACCATGTATTTCAAAAGTGCTTCTAAGAAATAGCTTGTTAAATCTTCTTGTCCTTTATCTCCTGATTGTGGAGCAACAAGCGGAGTGATTTCCTCTATAGTCACTTGAGCTATAAAACAAAAAAAAAGGTAGAAAAAAGTACATTTAACATTTATACCACTTCTTCTTATGCATAAATATCTACCAAGTTATCAAAGCAGAAATGTACTGAGGTAATCGGAGATAGTTACAGGCAAAATAATCCACCCGTAGATTACTGAAAATGAGGACATTTTAGCTAATAAATGACACAGAACTGATTTCTTACACATGTAAAAACACAGCAGATAACTCAGTACTCCCTATGCACCTGTGGAATCTACCTGCCAAGACGGTATGACACAGTCTTCCATAATATCCTCCTTGGGAAGCTCAGGAAGTATGGGCTAGATGAGTGGTAGGTGAAGTGGATTGAGAACTGGCTGAATGGCAGAACTCAGAGGGTTGTCATCAGCGGCGCTGAGTCTAGTTGGAGACCGGTAACTAGTGGTGTCCCCCAGGGGTCAGTACTGGGCCCAGCCTTGTTTAACTTCTTCATCAACAACCTGGATGAAGAGTTAGAATGTACCCTCAGCAAGTTTGCTGATGACACCAAACTGGGAGGTGTGGTAGATACACCAGAAGGCTGTGCTGCCATTCAGCGTGACCTGGATAGGCTGGAAAGTTGGGCAGAGAGGAACCTGATGAGGTTCAACAAAGGCAAATGCAGGGTCCTGCACCTGGGGAGGAACAACCCCATGCATCAGTACAGGCTTGGGGTGGACCTGCTGGAGAGCAGCTCTGCAGAGAGGGACCTGGGTATCCT